CTCTATTTTGGCCGATTTCTACTTTTTCCAGCCGCCTCCTCAAGCCTGGTAGAGGCTACCTTGACATACCTATGAGAAGAAAAGGCATGATGCTGTGAATGGGTCCATATGCAACTCCGCAAAGAGAACAAAACCCTATGGACGCTCCTGTTGCCATGCCAACGGCTACCACGCCCAGCAGACCGACATAAATCTGCATTAAAATAAATTAAGATATGTCAGTATATATAAGTTTTTCTGAGGGAATTTCAATTTTAAGATCACCTTCGCAAAGAAGGTTATGTTTTGGGTAGCGTTTGTATGTGTTTTAGTATGATAGCTCAAGAAGTTAGGGATGGACCCTAATGATATTTGGTAATTATATATTATAATATTAGCTCTTGATGAGGCCTCAAAATGATTAGATTGTGGGTCCCATCGCGGTTTGTTATGTTTACCGAAGGAAAATATATTGTTTTTGCTCTGTTTCGTCTTCCTCTTCTTCTTCTACAAACATTGACCTCTGATCTGGTCAATGACCTGAACCAGACCGTCTCACACCATGGTAACTGGTGTTGGGTTACATCATGTTGCAATTTTATAGTAGGAGGGATTTATACTCTTGCCACCATAGATGTGAATTCGTTTGAGTAAGAATTAACATAGAAGACCATATGCGAAGGTAAATATTTTGCATTTGTTTTGCAAGTGGTATTTTTCTAGTTACAGTACTGCAGCGGAACTTTTCTTTTGATATCTTGGTAGATATAAAAAAAGTGTGTTTCTATCCTACCCTGTGCTCCACGAGGTTGATGTTTCCGACCATGAGCACCACGTATGTGATGATGAGCGCGTACCCGGCCGACAACAGCTGCAGCTCAGAGAAAGTTTGGCCCCGAAAAGCGTCCTGAAAACTGGAATGAAACAAACGTTTGTAAAATTTCTTCCGCCAATGTAAGAGCTATACATTGAATAAACACAATATCTACGCTATAAGACGTTTAGATTATTCTTTTTTACTCAGTATTCACATGCATGTAACATATATATATATCATCACTATAAATGAATTGCATGAATATGCAATAAAGCTTGATTGAATGAATAGTATGTATTTTTTAATCAATAAAATTCTGTAAAATATTGTGACAGAGCTCACCTCCTGATAGCTCTAGGCAAGACTTCGTCAAGGTCACTGTGCCCTGCCAGGCCTATATCGATAAACTCAGTCTCCCAGGTACTCCCAACTTCTCCTCCCTAAAAACACAAGATAACAGTTAGTTAGAATATTCTTCAATCAGTGACTGTTTTTTAAAGGTAGAAACACGTACCTACAAATTTTAGGATGTTGACTGTACATCTTGATCACGGAGTGAACTAGTCTCGCGAGAACACGAGACTAGGTCGAGACTTGTGTGGATCTTCTGGCTTCCCCCGCCTCCTTGCGGAGTAGGGGTAGGTAGGACTTGGGCAGCTCCCAACCTTCGTTACGATTCATCCCGGCACGTTCCAACTGGATGTGGACTGCTTCCCTTATCTTTAAGGATAACAGATGCTGTAATTTCTTAAGATGTAATTCAGACCAGTCCTATCTCTATACGTCTAATTTCAGTCTTCAATGCCTACATGATAAGAAAGTAACAACGAAAAAGTCTATGATTGCTTCTACTCACCGTTCTCAATGCATACACCATGGTGTGTGCCTTTGCGCCAGTTATGTTTCCATTCGCATCCCTGCTTATTTCACTCAGCACCTTGTCAACGTAGTAGTCTGCTAAGTACACAGGACTGGAACAAACATACATATAAATATGGGTAATAAATATATTATTGTTATAAAAATTCCGAAACTCGTGGTTAGCTCAACCTGATTGTACACTATACAAGCACTTGATGCTTTAGTAGCTAGGATGTTAAGTTTCATTTTATACCCTTTTCTTTTTGCACTATGTTCAATATAGTAGCTGTTGCCATACAATGTACCATGTACAGCTGTCGTGCAATAAAGTTCTTCTCTGTATGAAATCACCTGGTGAGGTTGACCGTGTTGACCCTGTCTATGACGTCCTGATCTGTCAGGTTACTGATGACCGTCTCGTTAAAGCTCCACAGCTCCAGCAGACTGGTTGAGAAGCAAACTCCATTGAGCCTGGAAGTGGAGTGTGTGATTCCTTACGTCAAAATCTTACGAAAAGATAGACGTCTCGTATAAGTCATATGGTAATTTGCATCATCACCAGGACTCCAGGAGGAAAAGTGTGAATTGGGACAGTAATGGAGATCCTAATCCAATGAACAAACAAACAAACAGACAGACAGACAGACAAACAGGGAAAATTGTATATTATCAGGTATGTCATTGTTAAGTTACTATTATCATGAAAGTTCATCTGTGTTGGCAGTAATCATAGTAAAATGTTTAACTTAATTCCAACACAAGGATTACACAGAGATCAAATTTTCAACGACCACTGTCGCCTTCATATGCATCCAGAATCACTATATTTTCTAGAACTGATCATGCTGTGTGTAAATATTACACAAATACATATTACAAAATATATACGACACAAAATATATTCAATTCAGCAAAAATTACTAGATTTTGATTTGCTTCACGAGACCACTTCACTCTATGAATAAATGAGAACATTAATAATCAAAGACATATCAACCTCTGTGGAGTAAATAAAAGATGTGGTACTCACTTGTAACAAATATTATCCCAGGAGGGAACAGTTGCAACATTTATTTCTTTGACCTTCTTGTCAATAGCATACATCTGAAAGAACCAAGGTCAGATTCAATACCAACGTTTGCTCAATTTCCATGCCTGTTCTGTTCTTTAGCACGCATTACTGTCGAAAGCAATCACACAACATATACTAGAACCGTAACATTTGCAAGCAAATGCATAATGTTTACTTTCACATATGGTCTTCTCTGTTAATTCTTACTCAAACGCATTCACATATATGGTGACAGGAGTCTAAATCCCTCCTACTAAAAAATTGCCACATGATGTAACCCAACACCAGTTACCATGGTGACAGACAGTCTGGTTCAGTCAAATCAGAGGTCACTGTTTGGAGGAGAAGAAGAAGGGGAAACGTAGTAAAAACAATATGTTTTCCTCTGGTAAACATAATAATTACCGCTCTGATGCTGTCAGCGGTCAGTACATTATCGTCGATGACCAGGATGTACTGGTACCGGCCCGCGAGGCTCGGGAAGTTCCTCCCGACGAAGGCCGCCTTGTCCAGTATGGTGGAACCTGGAGGGGTGTGTGTGAAATGAAGCTGGTGATTGTGGACAAAGCACGGTGCCACTGGTGCGCAGAACCGTCAATAGCCAAGAACACTCATACTTTACATTTGCAAAGGCAGTATTACGTACAACCAGCATAACTTTGGTGCATATTAATCTTCAAGCTTGGAGTTTCTGTATCTGTTCAGTCAATATAACCGCCCTTCGGCGTAACACATTGGTTTAGATGCATAAATCACCTCCATGTACTTGTTTCAAGCTTGAAGTTGAAATGACAGAAATTGAAAGCTGGAGTTGAAAGTTTACAGGTTGTTACTGACCATCTGGGACCCAGAGGTCGTTGTACTCCGTCGCCTGGTAGAACTTGATGAACCCAGCGCAGAACCCGCCGGTCACCAGCAGGGGCAGGAGGATGGCGAGCCAGTAGAACCGGCCTACAAACCTACCGACCCTGGGGGAGAACATTCATCGGAGTGAATTTCGATTAGACACAAACAGTCGTTCAGATCTGATAATCAGGTCATGTTGATTTTATTACATGGATTGCATCCGCGCGCGCATGAATTTCCATCCGTTTAAAAAAAAAAAGGGTTCGACCATACTGTAAATCGTACAAAATGAGCGAATATATGTTGGATGTTGCAAAGACATTTTTGGAAAGCGATACTAATGTCATAGAATGCCAAAAACAATTCAGGAAAAGAAAAAATGTGAAGAAATGAAAATGTCTATCATTATTCGCCATACATTGTACTCATACGCCATGTGTGTTGAAATTGGCTGGTACACTATGAAGTTACAAGAAGTGTAAGGGCTTCTTGGTTCGAAGCAGTGCACACTGAAGTATACCCCTTTATATCTTAAGATTACCAAGTGCCGTGGGTCCTCAAGCAAGCAAGAGGTGTGTCTCTTTTCAAACCCAAGACGTCAGGGTCAACGTCCCTTTTTAAGTTCTCCTTTGATTGTAGATGAAAGACATTTAGAAGGCCATTGTCTCGGCTGTTGATTTTTCCTATAGTTTAAAGGTTATCTGATAGCTTATGTTATAAATAGTAGACTGAGGCCAGACTATCGTAGGTAAAATTACCCCGGGCCCACAATAGAGCACTGGCCTTTCCGCTGAGTTAGCCATTACTTTTCTGCATTACTCGGTAAAAATTGTCAACCACATGGATGCAGTTTATGAATATGGCTAATACATGTATGCTCAATAAAACCAAAACAATTTATGATATCTTAGTAGCTTAACTCTGTTTCTTGTTACCTGGACGTTACCCATATGTGACGTTGTTTTGTCTTGTGTTGTAATTTTTATTTTATGTCTAGTGGTGACATTAATATCAGCGCTAGCCATATCGCTCGAGTGCATCACTACTATGTATGGTATTGTTTGTACGTTAAAATAAAAAAAGATACAACCAATCAGGCGCATAGTTAAAGGGTTGTTTTTTAACAATGTCAACACACTGCCTCTTGTGACGAAAATGGCCTTCAACAAGACAGTTTTGCCAACAATAACATATGCTCGAAAAGAGTATATCATAATAATCATTAATGATACATGTATTGAGATAACATACGCTACGTCACCAGTCTGCATGCAACCTTTTGTATCACGGGTCATATCTGTTTATGGTTATCGACTGAACAAATGCAGTAGTGTATGGTCCGGTTCTATCACTAATAACAATGTGTGACGTTTTTACTATAGTGACAAATGGTGATGAATATAGCTATTCATAGAACAAGGGCTCGTTCATTTTGTACACAATATATGGCATAAAGTACAATACACGTTTTACAACCACGAATTAACTAGACTTCATAATAGTGTTTTTAAAAGAATGGAAGGTAAAAGGCAAGGTATTTTGCCACCTGTGTTTGGAATATTTCACATGTACACATCACGGAGTGAAGGAAATAAGATTCATTGCCGTTTTTTTCGGACATGAACCTCACTCTTTCTTAAACTAAATCGCAAACATGGTTGAAACATAACATGATACCATGACCATTCCACGTATTCAACTGCGAGGGTAAACAAAGAAAGTGGAACCCAATACACAATACATTCCGGTTCCTAAAAAAAGGTACGACACACAAGGAAAACTTCCCCTTTTTTTGCCCAAAAATAGTCCAACACACCTTGAATATCTCTTACACAGGTGTTGAACATGGATGTGGTATAAAAACGCTTAATTTTTAACGTGTGTATCTTGCTGGTGAGTAAAATAAAGTGGTCTTCTGCCCCCCCCCCTCCCCTTGTTGTGGACCGTGACTAAAACCGGTCTTACCTTGTGAAGAGTTCCTCCAAACCGTACACCATGATGTAGCTGACCGACTGCAGACAGGCTTGAAAACAAAAACAGCTGCATTCGCAGGTGCCCGAAGGACAACATCGCAAACAACACCTGCAACAACAATGCCTCTGCTCGGAGTTTTCGTCCTTGTTTTCGGGCTCTGAGTCCAATACTACCCCGCCATTCTGTCTGCCTACATTCTCAGAGACAGTGGGCAGGTGTCCGTTTGAGTCAGACATCTTCTTTGCGGGGTTTTCCGCCATGGTTGAACCCTTCTACACTGTTCGGTTTTCCACAGAAAGGTGCCAGTCACGCACGTCACACGTAAGACTTACAACAGCAAACAGACACACTCGTGGATCAGTCGTGAATTCGTTGTGTACATCTCGTCTGTCTTGTCACGAGAACGGTGGCCGTAGATCCTTGCGATGTTTTCGGTCGGTCCTGTCAAAGGTTCCCCTGCTGAAAATCGTACAACGTACGCGGTTGGTCCCTAGGCATCCACCCGCACTTTCCCCCACCCACTGTCATTACTAGTATGCCAAACTATATCTACGCAACAGAAGGCATTGTTGCGTGTAGAAAAGGTACAGATATCGCGTTTCCCTGAGAGCTGTACCTGGCACCTACAATTACAACACCTTTCGTCCTACCCTGCAAGGGTCAACGTACCCTGGATAATACGCCATGCGTATCAGGTCACCCTTTAACAAAAGAGATACGTATACAGCCCCGCGGCTACGTAACATCTGTAGGCTGTTTTCACCACAAGGGTTAACGCTATTCTCTTTGCATTGTATTTGTCTAATGGTACTCTTACAAACCGTGCGCGAAGGAACCTACCGAAGCTCAACGTTATGCTTTACCGGCATTCAGTTTGTATTCATTCACAAACATTCATAAATCCTACTGCGGGCTTCATTGCGCTGAGCATGCTGGTGGCTCAATTGAATAAATGTCTCCAAGTTGCCAACGTTAAACATCGTTTGTAGGATGTAGAATAATTGTACAAAACGAAGAATACGACTGTCACATTAAACTATTTACCATAACGATGCTTGACCGATCCGAAAGATCCACTACTATCTTTAAGGAAACTGAGTAGATAGACCCAATAGCAAATACGCCACCAGGTGACTGTCATTTCAGACAATATCGCCAGGGGCATGCTCAACCGTCTATTGAATACCGCATACGACCCCATCCCAAAATGTTAGAAAAACGAGGATGCCAGAAAGCGTCACTAATCCTACACCTGCTAGTAGTTAATTTGTGAAGATTGATGCTTTTAAATTTAGTGCATTTGGTTTTAACTACTGTAATTAGCGTGGCACTTTTTATGTGACAAATATATAATTAGATATTCTGTCTGAGAATTATGCCAAGGGTACACTAGTACATAGTGCAACCGTTGGGAGGGGGGCGTGGTTTAATATTTTACCTCTGTTTGCATACTACGAGCCGCCATTGTATGTGTGTATGGGGGTATATATTACTTCTGTCCACACATAGCGTGGCGGTCTGAGAAGAGTACATTCAACATGGCAGCAAGGCGAGTGGCTAGTTGGCAGGGTCCTAAGCTCGGCCACTACGTCCTGCTCTGGACGGTCCTGTTTACGGCACACTGCCGCGCGTTCACCGTGAGGCAGACCAGCGATGGCGGAGTGGACGTCCTTCTCGACGGGACGCTGCTTCTCCGCCACCAGAGGTCCGACCCCGCCATCTTGGTCGGGTCGGGGACGACGGTGTTTCGCGAGCTCCACGGGAACTTCAACATCTCCGACACGGTCGGGCTGAGAGTGCCGCTGCCTGACGTGGACGTCACACAACCCTCCCCGTCTGAGTACAGACTGTTGTTCTCTTCCGGAGGGAACTATCAGGTGTGTAATTAATAATCACGAAGTGGTTTGCATATAATTTGTGGAGAAGTTTATAAGTAATTTATTGACACGCTTATAAAGAGTAAATGTTGTCAGAAGCAAGGCTTGAGCAATGGTCACAGAGGTCAAAAAGTCAACTTGGTGCATTCTTGTATATCAGGTGTGTGTTTTTGATATAATTACGAAGTGGTTAGCATATAATTTGTGGAGAGGTTTATTATATTATTAAGTTATTTATTGACACGCTTAATAGCAAAATGTCGTCAAGGCTTGAACAATGGTCACACAGGTCAAAAAGTCAATTTCATGCATTATTGTATACTAGTATCAGGTGTGTTTTTTTATAATTACGAAGTGGTTAGCATATAATTTGTGGAGAAGTTTATAAGTAATTTATTGACACGCAGAGCAACTGTTGTCAAGGCTTGAACAATAAAAACAGAGATCAAAAAGTCAACTTTTGTAGAGCATAATATTTTGGATCGCACCTCACACATTTGCTGTACACGTACTTAAGATGCTATCCCAAAAAGCAGAATAGCAATCTCTGCGAATAGCAGGCATTGGATATAACAGGATTACAACAAAAAAGTGGCAAATGGCTAGCGCTCCTTTCCCCACATTTCTTACTCATAGAAGTGAACCATGAAGGAAATCATTCATCTTTATAAAATATTCGTCTACAGACGGAGATGACGCTTATGACTGGGAACGAGGGACACGACCACGTGATGAACATCTCGATCCCAGGGAACCTTGACAGAACGTGGCTTAGGCTTTACGCTGATGACGGCGAGCATGTTTATGGGGGTAAGGTCCACTAGTAAGGATACGTGTGATTTGTGGCACTTCTTTTAAATGATCAAAGGTTAATACAAGATGATAATGTGAAAACTATCGTCGTTATATAGAAGGTAAATAGAGACTATTGACTTGAAATGTTGTAAGTTGTGCCTTTTGATATCTTTAGGGTAATGGAACAAAGATATGGGAAGAAAATATAAGGTAATCTAAAAATTGGTTAGATTTTTTTGTTTTGAAGCTTAAGGATTATAGTTAACATTGCGCACATTAAAGATAAGGCCCTATAGCCCTAACGTCGACTAAGTGACGCCAGGTGCCGATGGCCCCTAGGTGGGATGATTTTGTAGCTTCTGGCTAATACCCAGGCCAAAGACACCAGGCACTTATAAGCAAAATATCAACTTTTCTACACTGACGACTTCCCATAGGTGGCGAACAGTTCACGTACTTCGACCTGCGCGGCCGGAGCTTCCCAATCTGGACCCGGGAGCAGGGCGTCGGGCGGCAGCCGGGCACGTTCGTCACCGACGAAGCTAACAGGCGCGACGGCGGCGGGGGAGACTACCACACAACCTACTGGCCACAGCCCACTTTCGTCTCCTCGCGGAGGTACTTCTGCCATTTTACTACAACAGACTACATGATTATGGACTTCACCGACACCACGGCCCACGTCATGCAGATATGGGGCTCGCCGGGAGTGGTCCATTTCGGCGCCGCCGCCACCTTTCCGGAACTTTCGGAACAGCTCGGAGCACTGCTCGGGAAGCAGCCGGAACTTCCCGACTGGGTGTACGACGGCGCGATCCTCGGCGTGCAGGGAGGGACGAGCGAGGTTCTGAGGTACTTAGAACAAGCTGAAGGTCAGGGGGTCAAGGTGAACGCTCTGTGGATCCAGGACTGGGCCGGGAGGATCAGGACATCTTTCGGCAGGCGGCTGTTCTGGAACTGGGTTTGGGACGAGAATCAGTACCCGGGTCTACGAGAAGAAATCGTGAGGCAGAAAGAACGAGGAGTCAGATTCCTGGGTTACATCAACCCTCACCTCAACAAACTCGGCAACCTGTACGCCATCGCGGATTCGCGCGGGTACTTCGTGAAGAACTCCACGGGACAGACGTACATACAGGACTTCGGCGAGTTCTTCTGCGGGACCATCGACTTGACCAACCCCGCCGCCTTTCAGTGGTACAAGAACGAAGTCATCATCAAGAACATGATCGAACTGGGACTGTCCGGGTGGATGGCGGACTTTGGCGAGTACCTGCCGCCGGATATGGTGTTCTATAACGGTGTGCCAGGACGAGAGATGCACAACCACTACCCCGCACTCTGGGCCAAGGCGAACAGGGACGCAGTAGAGGAGTCTGGCAAACTTGGAGAGATAGGTAGGGTAATGCATCTCACTCTGTTACTGATATATCTGGAACAATGAACAACTACGTACATGTTTCCCCATGTAACATGTTTCATTCTTATTCTATACCTCTTTTTGTACTATGTTCAATAGCTGTTGCCCTACGTTGTGTCGTGTACAGTCACGTGCAATAAAGTTCTGCTCTAAATATTACTACGTTTTCACTGTACGCATACATTTCAGTGTTCTGGATGCGGGCTGGCTTCTCTGGCAGTCAGAACTATTCTGTGATGTCCTGGGCAGGAGACCAGTTTGTTGACTACAGTCTCGGGGACGGGCTGGCCTCGGTCATTCCGGCGGCGCTGTCTCTCGGAGTGTCCGGCTATGGTCTGTCTCACTTCGACATCGGTGGATTCACCAGGTAACGTTAGTCCACTGTCTATACTAGAGTTACAAATTATCATGAAAGTTCATCTGTATTGGTAGTTTGATAAATTGATCAATATAACAAAGGCATATTATCATATAACCAGAAGACGTCGCTGCGCTCACTCGGTGGTTTATTTGGTGGTTATCGCACCTGACCAGGGGTTATCTCACCATATACACCTCGGGGGGGGGGGGGCATTAATCCTTTATTAACGTAAAGAAATGAACACATCAGTACCCATTGCCTTTCGTCTGCAGCCTGTTCGGAATAACCCGTACGGAGGAGTTACTGCTCCGTTACGCAGAAATGGCAGTCTTCACCCCGATGATGCGAACACACGAGGGGAACCGACCAGCTGACAACTGGCAGGTAAAACATGAAAATGTTTTCCTGTTCTTTTCTTTTCTTTTGCGTTTTGACAATTGTGAGTATATCTCCGTGGTGTAGTTCGAGAAGTTAAGGGGACGAGGGACGATACAGACTTCTTACAATTTTTTACCTATGACCTTTGAAAAAATGTATTATGTTGGTATGGTGCCTGCGAAATTGGGCCAGAAGTCAAGATATTTTTAGAAATTCGGTTATTCTACTGCATTTGATTACATTCTATACTGCGTTTGATTACATACTTATTTATGTCATAATCTATGCCACAAACGCCGTCATCTTTTATTTTCTAATTTGTTGTTTTCGTAACGTCCAAATGATGCACCTTTCTAGGTGTACTCCTCCGATAGCACTCTGCAACACTTCGCTCGACTGGTGGATGTCCACGTCAGCCTGACGGGCTACATCCGGGAACTCGTGCAGAACAACAGCCGCTACAACCTCCCCGTCCAGAGTCCGCTGTTCTACCACTACCCGGACGACCCGATGGTACACTGGTTTATATATGATGCAATTTTGATAGTTGCAGAGTGTTTTTATAGTTCTGTAATTTACTAAATAGCACTGTATGGGTATATGTATAGCCGATATAACTGTAGCCTCCTTCGCAGACTTCTGAGTCGTCGGTGTTAATTTTTTTCGGGGAGCGACGAAAGTTATGCCACCGAGGGACCGTCTCTCCCCGGCAAAGTCCATCGGCGGCAAAACCGTTCCTCCGCGGCATAGCTTTCGTCGCTCCCCGAAAAAATTAACGCCGACGACTCAGAAGTCTGCGAAGGAGGCTAGTAAACCGCCTTTCGGCGTAACACATGTACACCAGCTTCGCAGGCACGCGGCGCAGCGGCAGCTAGAGACTGGTCATAGTTAGTTGGGGTTTGTGCTTAGGACCTATACATGTTGACTTATTTTACCATGGGCAATTTTGACCGGCAGAGGTAAATGTTGGCTCTTTGTGACTTCCAACACAGGTGTACAGCATCAAGTACCAGTACATGTTCGGACCGGACGTGTTGATCGCACCTGTGTACAGGGAAGGTGTGGACACCTGGCAGGTGTACCTGCCCCAGGGGCATACCTGGGTGAGCGACGCACACTAACATATCTATTCACTCATTAAAGGCCCCATTCCCACTAGGATGAAATTGTCCGAAACGAGTCGAATTGATTCGGTTTGATCCGGCTTCAATTCTGCTTCGAGCCAGATCGAGCCGGCCGGAACGGGAGCAGCCGGATCAATATTCCGCTCGATCCGGCCGGACAATTTTATCCCAGTGGGAATGGGGCCTATAGATCCTGTGGTGTTGAATGCGACATGCTTACCGAAAACTGTTTACGAAGTACTTTAGACAATTGTATGGCATAATGTATCTGATCAGTACCTAAAAAACTTTATGTATAATTTTCATCTTTTTCCATTTTTTATATATTCAAAACTAAAATGTATGAATAACTGAATTCATGCTTGTCTTTCACAGCTTGACATATGGTTATGGTTAAGGTCATATTAAGAGGATATTGACAGAGGTTATTTCGTTGACAGGTTCATCTATGGAGTGACAACAGCTATGAAGGTGGTCGAACAGTGACGGTTGACGCGCCACTTGGACAGACGCCATTTTTCTTCAGAGAGTCTTCTAGATGGGCATCCCTGTTCAGGACAGTCGCTAGAGGTACGTATTTCAACTTTTTTCAGTTTGCGTCATCCAATTTAACCTCCACACAGAGACAATATTCATTTTTACTTGAGTTAAGTGAGGAATGTCGTGTAAAGTGCCTTTCCCAAGAGCCCAAGATCGGTGGCATGACAGGACTCGAACCCGGGACCTCGTGGTTCCGAGTCGAGTACTGTACCGTTACGCCACACGACCCCACTATCTACGTTGTTTTCATGAAACAAATGTCATCACGTTCCATGTGTCATTTTGTTTCCCTTTCAGACAACCCTCCTGTGAGTGGAACGAGTCTCAGTAGCTCCATCCTGCCTTACGTCACGGCTATAGTCGCCATACCTCTCTTCTTCTGGTTCCGGCAGCACTGATTCAACCAAGGACATTAATTTTGGTTGCAAAGTTTAAATTGTGTACTTACGCTTGAACGCATGTGAAGATATAGAAATATAATATGCACCTAGATGTATACTAGGTTTATACCCTTAAGATATCCCAAGGTTGGATAGTTAATTTCCAAATGCACTACCAGGAAATGCAGCAAATATAATGCCATTTATTAGATTTCACCTGACCCATGCAGTGATTCAACAGTCATGTGTGAAACTGAATTTAGGCACAATGGTATATTTTCATAGTTATAAAAACTTCATCCCGTCATGAAATACTTCCAAACTTAACATTTCTCTAGAGCTTTACAGTAAAACTCAGTTCTACATATACAATAGTACACAATAGTACAATAGGATCTCTTTATATATCATAAAGCTTCTTCAAGTATTTCCAACATTTTAAGAAAAGGTAAAAAAGCAATACTATCTGTTTCACTATTCTGTCGTCAAATGATAATCCACACTATGATAATTCCATAATCAAGGCAGCATTTTCCTTTTCCATCATTGATCAACTGATCAACTTTCGCAGCCATTCTATTTTGTATTCATGAAATAAAAATGATTAAAAAAACTATTCTTTTCAGAGCAGCATGTTGGATGAGTCTTCACCATACTTCACTTTTATAAGTCAGTAAGAACTGCCGCATTATTATCATATCCCGTCATCTCTAGGTTTCTTCCAGTGCCTTTGTTTCTCTTCCTGTTGACAAGGCATCCGATCGTCAAGCCTACGATAAGAGTTACCAGGCCGACGGCTCCCATGATCGCGAATGGCTCCCAGGTCTTCGTCCATTCCACAGCTTGGACTCGGCCAGGTTTTGGGGTGTTAGAAATGTCTGAAAGATAAAAAGAAGACCCTTCAGCATATTTCTAACAATGCTCTTTTAAATGTCACACGCGAACCTTTATGCACGAACGCTTCTGTAAAGACGGAAGCATCATTCACCAAACTACAAATTTCATTATGTGGGTGAAACATTCATTTTCTTCTTGTGAAATCATTCTGGCAAGTACAACATACCAGGTGGTCCAGTAGTCTTTGCATCGGGCTGTCCTGTTGTCTTTGTATCGTCCTGCTGTTCTCTCGGTTTGATAGTGTAGAAAGCCATCATCCCTTTGTCAAAGTGGTCCGCCACGTGGCAGTGGATGATCCACGTTCCGGGATTCTCTGTCCTCATCCGAGCAGAAGCAAACTCACCTGCAGTCATAATGAATGGAATGGATCATGATAAAAATAATACGAAAAAAATATTGAAATCTCAGGATTTCTGAATAAAGCATATGCTGTGAAGAGAAGTAGACCATACAATTAGCAATTACTAGTAATAGACTTTTTTGCACTTCAGCTTAGGGATTTTCCGGACTCATCCAAAACAGAAGCAAACTCACCTGTATTTATGATGAATGGGATGGGTCATGATTTAAAAAGAAGTAAAATACGGAAAACAGGTACTAGTATTATAATGAGGCACAAGCTACTTAAGGGAAGTAAAACATACAATTTTCAAATAATAATAGACTTTTAGTACTTCGGTGTATTGAGGAAGTACTAGACCAACCTGGGAAGAGATCCCAGACGTCGCCACGATGGTGCCTCCTGTTGTCTGTGGTGTGGATGAAGGTCTGTCCGTGGAAGTGCACGGTGTGAGTGTCCACCTCCGTCCCCATCCCCATCAGGTACCACACGACGTCCTCATCCTCAACCATCTCCAGACCCAAAAGGTTGTGCAGCACGTAGCCGTTTATAGCTGTGGAAAGGGGACGATGTCAGCTACACGTACTATTGATGGACAGTGCCTTCGCTATTTTTTTAATGAACATTTACATTAGGTACAAAAAATAACTGTAGCCATGATAAAATATTACATAGCAAGAAAAACAAGAACGTGCAGTCGTACCAAACATATGGTTGGCTTCAACGAAATCAGCGTCGTCCGGATTCACTTGTGCTGGAGTTCCGCAGTGATTCTGGATGTTCTCCTCCAGGTACCAACTGTTACTCTCCTCCGTCCCCGTAAACATCAGGACGAACTCACGGTCCGCGTCTGCTCGGCGCCCGTCGGCACCGAGCGTCCCTTGCCGACAAACCACGAGCGGGCCGACCAGACCCGAACTGGTGTCCTTGACGGGATCGACACTGGAGTAGTAGGCCCACGGGATGCAGTTGTCTGACTTCTGTGTAGGACCTGCTCTTGGTGGCACGAACCACGTGTAGACGTTAGTTTTGTTTGGGTCCACAGAATCATCAGCTTTCGACACCCCGGATGTCTTGTCCTCATACAGCGCCCCCTCGTTCCACTTACTGTACAGCAGGCCGTGCGGGTGCATGGAGAAAGGATGTGACGCCATGTTCTTGAAGTAGACCACGATGACGTCGCCGATCTCCGCCTCAATCATCGGTCCGAGCATGCCCAGGTGCTGGTCCCTCGGTCCTCTCTGTTTCTGAACTGTGAAGGTTGGGTCGGTGTACTCCCGGTACAGGGCCTTCTTGTACTGTGAACCGATCATGGTTGGTCCTGAATAGATCCGGTCGTACAGAGAACTGCGTATGAGAAAGAACATTAACATACAATTATCATCAATTCTACACACCTCTTTAATCTGCATCGATAAACAACATGATCAAAGGTCCGACCGGGACGGAGGACGATACAAACTTCCAAGTCATATTTGGTACCGAGAGGTCATGTGTCAGACGTTAGTTGATCAGTATTTCTAAAGAAGGCAAATGCGTCAGTCGAACATTTACTAGAACGTGGCATTGCTTACGTCAAAATGTTAGTTTGCACTTTGATAAATAATAATGTTCTTTCTATCGAAGAAACAGAATTAAAATTGGAAACTTTTATCTATAACCTCACCTTTTATCTATAACCTCACCTGCTTTCATTAGTCACAGTGTCTCCGTAGATGTTTCTTTTGTCCTGTGCGTAGTCCCATTCCTCTTCTACAGCGGCGATGTAGAATGTTCGGATGGTCCCTGCGCTGTTGAACCAGAACTGTGGACCGTCTGCATCGCAGGTCTCCACAGACACTTTGGCCTTCATCCCGGCACTGTAGTGGTCGTTCACCACACATTTGATAGCCCAGTCACCTATCAAAAGTGATAAAGTAAAGATGAGATTACAAGTTGATAATACTAGAAAGGTAACATTTGCAAAACAAATGCATAATATTTACCTTCGCATATGGTCTGCTCTGTTAATTCTTACTCAAACACATTCATATATATATATATGGTGACAGGATCCCTCCTGCTATAAGATTGCAACATGATGTAACCAAACACCAGTTACCATGGTGACAGACGTCTGGTTCAGGTTATTGACCTTATTGGTTTCGAGAAGAAGAGGAAACAGAACAAAAACAATATGTTTCCCGAACACAAAAGACACCCATGGAACGTATCCGTACCTTCGTTGTCTGGTACCATCTCCAGAGTCTCCGTGGTCCCAGGGAAGATGGAGATGGAGTCCCGGGTCTGTCCGTGGTACTGGAAGGTCAGACCGTGGAACGCCAGAGTGTGGATGTCAACCTCGGTCCCCAGACCCAGGACGTACCACGTCACGTTGTCGTTTGTGCACATGCTCAGACCGGGAAGGTTAGCGTACATGTATCCGTTGATGCCTGTGAAGCAAATGGATGAAAGTCATTGAAAATGACAATCGTGAGAAATCCTGAAGGCTGAGTAGGTACTAAACCTGTTTCTGTCTAACTGTCGGCATAACTCAAAAAAGCCTGGCCAATTCATGAATAATCTTTCTCAACCCTAATAGATGAGGCGTTTGTGACAATGTGATGACCCAAACCTAGTACCTGGGATAGTTTCTTAATAACAGTTTCTACACAAGTCACACTCACCATGCATAAGATTTGACTCGTGAAAGTCTTCATCCTCGGGATCGGTGACAGTTCCAGACTGCGTGAAGTTCGCGATGTTGTCGTCCAGGTACCAACTCTGATTCTCGTCATAGACAGCAAGCATCAGAAAGAACTCTCGGCTGGCATCTCGCTAGAAAGTAACACAAAGAAGTGGAACCTTAGTATGTATGGAAGAGCAATATTGTATTATGTACATTATACTGACCTACCTGCATGTACCTAGGTACTAAGTACACTCACCCGTTTGCCTTCACTATCCAGTGTCCCAGCCTTACACACGACCAGGGGTCCGACCAGTCCGGAGTAGGCGTCCTTGACCAAGCTGACCCCTGACCGGTACAGGTTCACTAGACACGCGGGGTCTCGTTCTGTCGGCGCCACGGACGGAGGGACAGTCCACACATAGGTGAAGGTTCCACCGGGCTCCACACTTCCACCGGCTGTCTTATTACCTGTGCAAGAGAAAACATATAGGATAGATAAAAAGGTCAAAAAGGCACGAAATCCTTGTCTATCGATACTCAAAGATGCTCTAAAAACTAATGAAAATGTAAAGGATTCATAATAAATAACCAACACAATGCCATTGAATTCAGTGGATCATTACTTACCACTTCCATATGACGACCCTTCGTTTGACTTGTTGTAGAAGACGCCGTGTGGTTCGATACTGTACGGTCTGTCCGCCATGTTTTTGAACGTCACCATGACGGTGTCCCCGACCTCTGACCTGATGACCGGTCCCAGCATGCCTAGGTGCTGCTCCTCCCGAGTGCGGTTCTTGCGCACGGTGAATGTACCGTCGGTGTATTCCACGTACAGAGCTTTCTTGTACTTCCCGCCGATCCGCTCGGGCCCTTGTTCGAAGAATACCACCGAGTCGCTGGCGACAAAGAAAAGTGATCAAACAAGTATTACAGTCATATCACTGGTAAAACGTTGCTTTGGACAAAGCACATTCTTCCAAAACAATGACATTACTTTGTGAAGGAAGTGGAAGAAGCCATTTACAACAAAATCTGGAAATTTTTACCCATTGAACAACCAGAACGATGGACGGTACCGGCTTCCAGTCACATGTAACTTTCGTTATTCCTTTCAATTAAAAAAAAAATCTTACCTGTCAGCTGCTAGGAGGCTTCCTCCCTCGAAGTGGTTTATCCTGGAAGGTGCGTAGTCCCAGGTCACCATCTCTGCTGCGATGTAGTAATGGCGGACAGTCCCGTCCAGAGGTTCCTCAGGAACGGTGGCGCCGCAGCCGCTCACGTTGTACAGAGCCTGCATTCCAGCTGAATATGGAGCCACATACACAAGTTCAGCAAAACAAAACAATAAAACAGAAATTTGTTGAAATATAATTTGATAGCAACATGAGAACAATCTTAAACACCTTTACAAGGTTTGTGGCTTATATTAGAAAACAACAGCCAAGGAACACTTATCATTCTATACTGACTGGCCTGGTATTTTGTGACAGTCTGATCTGTTAAAAACGCAATGAAAAGGTCATTTTTACTCATTGAAGACCCTCACCCAAAAAGTGATCTCCCACTTGACAACTGGCCATCCATTCTCCAACATTCCGTGGCTCCATGACAGCGGTCGCAAAGGATGCTGGGAATATTCCAGCTGTGTCCGTTCTGAAATTATGGAATCAAACAGGGCTGAAATGTTGCGACAAAATGCTGTGTTTAAACTTCTTCCCCTGGTATACATGTACACTGCCATATCCTCGTATCTTTATACGTTAGGACTCAGGCCATGTCCAGTTTAACGGTGCTATATAGAGGTTAGATTATTATTTTTAATTGTTGACCTACCTGTGAAACTGGATGCTGACTTGGTGACCCCGGAAGTTAATGGTGTGGATGTCGACCTCTCCGCCCCTCCCCACCAGGTGCCACGTGACGTTCTCTCCCACACACATGTCCAGGCCGGGCAGGTTCCCGTACAGGTAGCCGTTTATACCGTGCATCAAGTTACTCTCCTGGCAAATTGGCAGCAATAAAACATTCCATTTAGCAATCGTTCCTGTATGTTTTAAAATCGGACCTGAGAATTTGAATTTTTCTCGTCTCATTTCCGTTTCTGCGATGTAACAACAAAATGTAAACCTTGAAGGGCAAAGCATAATTGTAGTCTAGCTGTTTATTTTTACAAATGTAAGGTTGACAATTATTGCATATCATCTTTCCATCATTACGTGACGCGTTTGCATGACCCTAATACCTGTGAGGTAAAGTATTTGACATTCCAAGAACACTTAAGACTACCCCTCAAATACCTGGAAATCTTCGTCCTCCTTCAGGGCTGCCGCCTCTGCGTCGGTGACGTTCAAGAAGTGTGCGATGTTCTCGTCTATGTACCAGCTGTTGTTCTCGTCAAGGATGCCGAAGTTCAAGACGAAGTCCTTGTCCACTCCTCTTTGTTTCCCATCGTCACCAAGATAACCTAGGAGAGATAGACGTTCAAACATGTTGGTGAATCAAAACGTAACTGAGTGAAGAGACCTTTTTCTACACAACCAAGTCTTTTATTCAGTCCACGTTTTGGTGACCGTCTGTCACCTTCCTCAGGACAATTCTGACTGGTTCACATTGCACTGCAGCACAACTGTCGCTGCGTCGCTGCTATAGATGCATTCCCAAATGTACAATATTTACATATCTACACAAAAAAGTAAAAGTGAAGAAAGAAATATACCATAACATACAGATTGGAGGTCCACATACCTGGTTTGCAGGTCACGATCGTTCCCGTCAGGCCCGCGTTCATGTCCTTGTCGGCGGCGACGTGTGAATGGTACATCCACGTCAAACATGGCGGATCGTCGTCAGCGGGAGCCTCGTTCTGAGTCACCTGCCACCTGTACACGTACGTGTCGCCCGGCGGTACCTGGTCGTCCGATTTATTTGCACCAGACGTTCCGTCAAAGTAAAGCGCTCCTACGTGAAACAAACTCATCATCAATGTCACCAAGGCACACATGTACTGATATATATAGGCCCCATTCCCACTAGGATAAAATTGTCCGGATCGAGCCGGATTGATTCGCTTTGATCCGGCTTCGATCCTGCTTCGGGCCGGATCGAGCCAGATCGGAGCCAATTTTCTCCTTGTGGGAAAAGGGCTATAGTTATTAATATATATATATAGTTATTAGGACCCCCCCCCCTCCGCACACACACACACACACACAAACAAACACAAACACATATGCACGTTATATTGTAAATATAGGTTGGTATATTGTAAAGATGCTTGGCCGTGGTTCAGTGTTAAAGAGGGACAGGTGACGAGCTACAAACACTAAAGGACAGAGATGAACGGCGGAATATCATCCAGTGGAAGTGATTCAAACCTCTTTAATACCTTCACTGTTTTTCTCATACAGGACTCCGTGTGGATGCATGCTGTAGGGTCGTGACGCCATGTTCTTGAAGTGCACAATGATGTCCTCCCCCACCTCCCCACTAATGGTAGGTCCCAGGTACCCTAACCATGGCGGGTGTTGTTTCTCCACGGTGAAGGTGCCGTCCGTGTATTCCCGGAACACGGCCTTCTTGTAGACCCTCCCGATCCGGTTCGGGCCTGGTTCCAGGAACACAGCTGCGTCACTGCAAGGGACAAACGAAGGATCAATCTCGATCAATTTATTTATCATCTAAGACTAAAATGTAAGACCAATGAAATGTGCCAAAATCTCAAAGTCGGGAAAGTAATATTCCACCTGGATGCGAAAATAGGAACGAACTGAAGCTAGAATAGGGTGCATGGATTCCAGGCTACTCTCAACCCAGCACCGACCTTGTTTGCGGCGTACAGTCGCGGGAAACTTGGCTGTGAGCCGGAGCTGTCACTCTGATATAGCTAATACCCATTATTGGCTTAATCATTAGCGCTTGTTTTCGTAAAATGTTGTTGTCGTTATACTAACGAGAAAGTGAAACCTCTCGGCTACGACACTAGTCTAACCTACGTAGGAGGCGTTTTCAGTGCATTTTACAAGTAGTACCGTGGAATAATACTAAAGATACATAGAATAATAAGTATCCTGCGCCATTCGTATCTTCTTGTTGTAATAACATAGTTACGCAAGCGATGTGTGTTACCCTCTTACACAATTCTGTCCGTTCTGATAAGTTATATATTAATGGGAACAAACGTCACAACACAGGTGATAAGATGCAAAAAGCCGACATATTTATTGCCACTGAGGCTAAGGTCAACGCCATACGTGCCTCTACTCGAAAAAAAACAACTATTGATCAATACGGAAATAAAAACGTAGAGTGTTACGACAAAAGGGTGATTATACACATACAGAAGGTGCCCTTTAAAACATGTGATTTTAAGCTCATGGAACTGTCACCTTTACAGTTATACATGTATGTCTTCCGTATGTCCCCTGCCTCCGTACAGTACTAAACCACAGCATAAAAATGTGACCACCTCTGCAATGACTCAACCCCTCACTAGCGCCTGCAGTTTTCTATCTACTGCATGCATAGAAATAATGTACAACAGTGTGAACTCGAGGCATTAGTTGTTATGTATGTACTTCTCATATAACGTAACCCAGGCTAAGTACAGCACTAGACGACTGTCACTTTACAATATATGTCTATGTGTATGCTCTATCATCACTTTAACCGTAGTTTCAGAGTGGCGTCTACGCTATACGCTAGCCTATACCAGACTTCGGGAGACGGCTGGAAAGAGTAGAAATCGTCCAAATAGAGAAATAACATGACGAGGGAGTTGGTCCGCTAGAGAGTACATTTCGCCGCACCCTCTATTTGACCGATTTCTACTCTTTCCAGCCGTCTTTCTAAGCCTAGTAGAGGCTAGCTATAAGCCTCACTACCGCTACAAATTGCGGAAGTTTCTAGGATTACCTGTCCTGAGAAATGGCGACCTGTGTGATCTTGTTGTACCCTCCCGGTGCGTAGTCCCACCACACTTCCTTACACACCACGTAGTAATGCCGTTCTTTCACGGCAGCATCTGTAGTGTACACCATCAGGTAGGCGCACAGTAGAACACAGACGGTCTTTAGGAAAGCAGGCATGATTGTTGAAGTCTCATTCAGGAGAAAGTCAGACTGTGACACGAACTAGCTACTGTTTATGCAACGCAACTTAGTGTGCTGTACAATGAATAACTAGTGAAAAGCAAATACACGACGTCACATAGGGTGTGCCCTAACCATGGGATCTAAGTCCACCAGGACCCGTACCGTTCGGTACCTGGGGCGCCTTCACATAGAAGACAGAAGGAGACAACCGTATTGTCGTAACCTGGTGACATTAAACAATAACATGACAAAATACTTCGTGTTTGGAGGCTGGTTGTATTAGTAATATTCTGGTCAAAGACTCAGACCTCAGATGACCTGATCTCAGAAGGACGTGTTTGTAAAAGGTGTGCCTTGAGTACAACGTCCGAACGGACTTACTGGGCATGATCCCCTAGGGTTATGTAGTTTGTGATGTCTGGTATTTTACCATGCTTTAAATACCTTGTGAGATAAGGTTGAGAGAATTGACAACATCTTTATTGTGGATTCAACACACTTCCAATACTACCATGCAGACAATGCCTCCATCACTGCATACAAGCAAAGCTATGGACTAACGTTGTCCTTACATCTATATTCTCTATAGCTATACTACTTGCAGTACTTAGTAATATGCTCAGAACGATAAGGCCCCATCATACCATGCAGCTGACACTAACTGTGTTTCGGGTCTCTACCCTTGGCTGTGCGTTAGCGATGAAAGTAGTCCTACAACTATAGTCTAAGCAGCTTTTCCTAAATTTTCGCCTTATTTCTTGTGATTCTGGTTGTTCAACTGCCCCTAGCCTCTTCCAGGCTTCGGGAAGCGGCAGGAAAGAGTATACGTAGAAATTGACCAGAAATTAAGTAACATGCCAGTGGAGTTCGGGAGAGAAAAACTGTACTCTCTAGCTGGCTAACTCCCCTGGCATGCTATCTGGCTATTTTGCTAATTTCTTCTTCTTGAAATTGACCCCTCCTTAATTTATTAAGGTTGTGTAACGTCTCTGTCTTGTGTCTATGTTTCAGCAGGTTCCACGGTTTCAGCAGGCTCCACGGTTTCGGCAGGTTCCACGGTTTCGGCAGGTTCCACGGTTTCAGCAGGTTCCACGGTTTCAGCAGGTTCCACGGTGTAGGTCGTCTGCATGCCCAGCGGGAAGTGGTCGCTGTTGTGGCAGTGCAGCAGCCAGGTGCCGGGGTTATTCGGGGTCATGTGAACGGTCGCAAAGGTTCCTGGGAAACAAAAAAGATGGCAGAGAGACAACCACATGACTGTTAATTCTTACTCAAACGCATTTGTATATACGGTCAGACAGTAATTTAAATCCCTCCCGCTATAAAATTGCAACATGATGTAAACCAACACTAGTTACCATGGTGACAGACGTCTGGTTTAGGTCATTGACCTTATGTGTTTGGAGAAGAGGAAACTGAGCAAAAACAATATGTATCCTTTGGTAAACATAACAAACAAGCTCACCAGGAAACAGTTCCCAGACGTCTCCCCGTTGGCGCAGGTCGGGCCCGGTGGTGCGGGTGAAGGCGTTCCCGTGAAAGTGCGCGGAGTGCGCGTCCACCTCCGTACCCATCCCCATCAGGTACCAGTCCACACTCTCCCCCACAGACATCCGCAGGCCCCGCAGGTTACCCAGCACCAGTCCGTTGATGGCTGGTAAAGAAATAAAATGATTCACTAGAAAGGTAACATTTGCATGGCAAATGCACAATGTTCCTCTTCGCATATGGTCTGCTCTGTTAATTCTCAGTATTCAAACACATTCGTATATATGGTGACAGGAGTCTAAATCCCTCCTGCCATAAAATTGCAACACGATGCAACCCAACACCAGTTACCATGGTGACAGCCTCTGGTTCAGGTCATTGGCCTTATTTGTTTGGAAAAGAATAGGAAGAAGACGACTTCAAGATTCAAGATGAATTACATTCAGGTACGTTTACATTTGTGTAGGAAGCAAGGTCTTGTAAAACCAGCCATTTGTCTTACCATGTAACTTATTAGATGCCTGGAAGTCTTCATCGTCAAAGTCTACCTGATCCGGAGTCTCGCAGTACCGTCTGACGTTCTCTTCGATGTACCAGCTCAGGTTCTCGTCAAACACGCTGAACAGCAGGGGGTACTCCCGGTCAACGTCACGTCGGCTGCCGTCGGGAAAAAGCGATCCTCTCCGACAGATGACGAGCGGGCCGATCAGTCCCGAGTTGGTGTCGCGAACGGGGTCGACGCTGGAGTAGTACGCCCAGGTGACGCAACTTCCGTCTGCTTCTGTTGGCCCAGACCTGACAACGAATTTGACATTTTCAAGTGCGAACTCGAAAACAACGCAACAACAAACAGCTATTATCCATATTTAGGCTCCCTGAAACTCCCCTGCAGTTCCAGAACAAGCTGCTAAGACAAAAATCCACTCCACTTATTCCTGACAGGAAGAGCTATCCGTCCCCAAAAATCCAAGACCATAGCATGTTCAGGACAAAAGGTACAAAAAGTTCTGCTGCAGTACCAAGGTCAGCCACCAGGAGGCCCATATTTGACCTTGACCTTTGTCTTCCTAGGACCTATCAACATACCAAATATGATCACAATCCATAAAGGCGTTCTGAAGTTATGCTGACTACAAATGTGCGGAAACACAGACACACACACACACACACACATATCAAAAACAATACCACCATTTTTCATGGAGGTAATGAATAAGAAGTATTTCTACCTTTCCGGCACGCTCCACGTGTACGCCTTGGTCTCTCCCGGGTTGACCCCTACCCTCTGCCCGGTAGCGCCCCGCCCGTCCTGGTACAGCGCCCCCTCGCTCCCCTTGTCGTACTGCACACCGTGCGGGTGCAGCGAGAACCGACGGCTCGCCAGATTCCGAAAAATCACAACGATGACGTCACCGATTTCCGCTCGTATGATTGGTCCGAGTAGACCCTGCGTTTCTGGTCTCGCCACCTCTGTTGTGAAGGTACCGTCGGTAAATTCTCGGTACAAGGCTTTCTTGTAGACCGATCCTATAGTTGTGTCTGAGGCCCTCAGATAGTCATGTTCGCCACTGTTGGTAAAAGAAGGAAGCAACGACTTCGCGTTTATAACGTTTCTTACGGTATTGAGCGAAATTGGTCAGGTATAGACCTCCTAAACCCTCCATGCGATCTCGTGTAAGAAGAACAAAAACTTTATGTATCATGATCAACATTTAGGGGTCCAAAATTGTGTTCTAAAAAGCCCTACAGAAGATTAATGTTTGCCAACAAATTCCTTTTTTTCCCACATCTTTTAGAGTACTTACTCGGTAAGGTTTATCGGGTTTCCGTGTGCGTCCTCTTTCACTTCAGCGTAGTCCCATTCCAGCTCCACCGCCGCGATGTAGAATGTCCGCACCTGGCCAGCGTTAGCGACCAGGTCCTGAGAAGACCGCTCGTCCGGGTAGCAGTCCTGCACTACATATTTGGCCTTCATACCGGCGCTGTAGTGATCGTTGGTTCGGCACTCTAGAGCCCATTCCCCTAATGTAATATAACACATCGGGATAATGTTGTTTTATAATGATAATAATAATATAATAATAATAATGATAATTTTCATAGCCTGAACAAAGTTTACAACGTTTGCCTTTTCAACTATAGCGATGGGTCATTGATATAATGTCTCTAACTGGTCTACATGTATGGTGAACACTCTCTTTATTATCTTACCGATATTGTCTGGAACCATTGACAGAGTTTCTGCAGTTCCAGGGAAAACCGCTATGGCGTCCCTGTACTGCTGGTGGTACGTCAGCGTCTGCCCATGGAACACTGCGGTGTGGATGTCCACTTCAGTACCAAGGCCGAGCACGTGCCACGTGACGTTGTCTCCTTTGCACATGCGCATGGTGGGAAGGTTGCCGTACATGTAGCCATTGATGGCTGGAAGAAAAAGTAGCCATATTTGTTTATCTCTCTTTCATCTGTTTCAGTCATCACTGCTACTGCATGATGCAACACTAATGTTCTGGCTATTTCTAAAAGATGTAATAAGCGACCCAATACACACAATGTCATATTCAGGTATTTTGAATATACGAGTTTAGAATACCGTGCATTAAGTTTGACTCCATGAAGTCCGCGTCTGCGCGGTCCACTCCATCCGGGTCCTCGCAGAATTCCCGGATGTTGTCGTCGAGGTACCAGCTCAAGTTCTCGTCGATCACCGAGAAGAGCAAGAAGAACTCGTGGTCCACATTTTTCTGCAATGGTTGGAGACTTCCATTTTTAGCTTCGAAGTAGCTTCAAATGTTCAATAAAGGATAAAACAATGTGGAAAATTGATGTCCGAAAGAAATGAAATTCCAACAGAATACAGTTTGAGATGTAAGGTTTCTCTCATTCTATGATATCGGTTAACTTAAAGTATAGTCCTACCAATTTCTTACGAGTGACAATATGTTACTGTCACTATTGACATAATTTTGTCTTAAAGATGGGTTTTACGACTGTAAGCAGCTGTAGCATCAGTGGTCAGATAACCATAGTTTAAAAATCCGACCTGTTTCCCTGACTCAGCCAGTGCACCTCGCCTACAGACAAGCATGGGGCCAATCAGCCCAGAGGACGGGTCGGCAACGGGGTCAACGCCCGAGCGGTAGAACCTGGTCAGACAGGCGGGGTCACCCTCAGCCGGCCCGAAGTCTTCCGGAACCGTCCAGCGGTAGGTGTAGCTGTCCCCGGGTTGAACGCCGTAACCCTTTCCAAATGCTGAGTGTTTTGAGATAAAGTTAAAATGAAAGCTTTGATATCGATCGTTTTCGTGAAAACGCGATTTTGCAACGGTTTAAATCCCACCGGTACTACCCCCATCCAAAAGGATTGGATTTGGATTTCATTATCATAGAGTCAAAGAGAACTCACTCAGTCGATCTCCTAAACTTTTAAAAATCTAATCAATTCATTGATCAATTTGAATTCATGGGGAGGAAATTCAATGTGCCGACGTGTGTGTTGTGGAATTAGATGACTTTAGCCGCATTAAAAAGTTGACTTTTCCTCACCGTCTCCATAGAAACTTCCTTCGTTTACTTTATCATAAGCGACGCCATGCGGTTGGATGCTGTACTCCCTGTCCGCCATGTTCCGAAAGGTCACGACGATCTCATCGCCGACCTCTGACCTTATGACCGGACCCAGAATTCCCTGTTGCTTCTCCTCTGCGGTCCGTTCCTTCGGACGACTGAATGTGTCGTCCTCGTATTCCACGAACCGGACTTTCTTGTACGTCCCACCGATTCTGTGCGCAGTGTTCTCGAAGAAAACTACGGAATCACTAGAAAATTAAGATGAAATCATTAAGTTCCACGCAGTTTCACAGTCTTGTCAGAGAACAATTGACAGCAAAAAAAAAATAGAAAAAATATTAATCAGGACCCTTACTGTTTTTGCTACGTTTTCTCTTCTTCTCCAAACAGTGACCTCTGACCTGACTGAACCAGACTGTCTCTCACCATGGTAACTGGTGTTGGGTTACATCATGTTGCAATTTCATAGTAGGAGGTATTTAGACTCCTTTCACCAATATGTGAATTTGTTTGAGTAAGAATTAACAGATCAGATCATATGCGAATGTAAGTTGCATTACGCATTTTATTGCCATAACTGAACTGAGGAAAATATCTTTACTGCATGAAAGATCAAAAAGGGCCCCATAGACCATACCTGTCCGGTTCTACTAAGCTTCCTCCGTCGAACAGATTCTGCCCTGAAGGCCCGTAGTTCCAGTCGACGGTCTCGGCGGCTATGAAATATTCACGGGTTCTGCCTCCGATGTAGACCAGTTGGTATCCCTGCCACCTCGGTCCGCAGTCACCTACACTGAACAACGCTTGCATCCCACCTGGGTTTGTAGTACATTTATGATAAGTAATTTCCTGTGGACTAAGTAACATATTTAATTGATGGAGTATAGAGTTAAATTGCACCCGCACACCCCGTCCATCTAAACAGAATTTATCACATATCTTATTTCTAGTAACATGATCTGTCCCTCTAAGCAGATCCTACGGTGGCCAGGCAGTATCCATAATGTCCAAGAAGTGACGATGGCAAGGCAGTATCCATTGGCCAAGAGTGACCAATAGCCACCAAATGGTCACTCCTTGGCCAATGCATACTGCTTAAAATTTTGTCATCGCCACTTCTTTGACAATGGATACTGCCTTTCCACGGTAGCCCCTTACCGCTGTAGTGATCGTTGACCTCACAGTTGACCATCCATTCCGTTCCGGGCCCGCGTGCTTCCATCCGAGCGGTGATGAAGGATGCCGGGAAGAGTGAGATGGCGTCGGCGGTGTGACGCTGCAGGCAACAACGGAGAAAACACAACAGGTAAACAAACAAAATAAACATCAGTTCTCCACCACATTAAACGATTTTACACTTTCCTTAAGCTTTTTTTTACTTTTTTTTGTTGCTTTTTTACTGAATCTAATGCAAAACTGGTTTGACTGAAACAGCTTTCAAACCAAAAGGTAGCAAAACCAGTAGGCAGAACGCACTATACCTGCATGCGCGAAACCTGTGTGTCTCATATACTAGTAAGGTCATATTTGCGTATATAAGGTTAACACTAAGTCTGTAGTTTCCATGATCCAAATGTTATGTCGGAAAAATGTCGTCTGCAACAGGCAAAGTTCTAATGCAACGTTGACCAAAACTTCCACGCAAATGGGGGTTTTGCGCAAGCACAGTACGTCCTGTGGACGTGGTAGCAAAACCTATATTACTACATGCACATGTGGCTACGGAGTTGACGAGTAAGGTTTCGCTTTGCTGCAGTGCGTACCTGCATCGCTAGGCTCTGCCCTCTGAAGTGAACGGTGTGCATGTCGACCTCGCCCCCCAGCCCCACCAGATGCCAGCTGACCGTGTCACCGTCACACATCACCAGGCCGGGCAGGTTCCCGTACAGGTAACCGTTGATGCCGTGCATCAGGTTACTCTCCTGGAAAGCACGTTTAATACGAAGCATACTCTCAGTAAGATAAAGATATAACGTTACATTGCCAGACACAGGATGATAACATATATAATTTCTCAACATGCTAAAACAGTCTTGCAAATAACATTTATATTTACCTCCATTTATTAGTTTTTTCAACTTTACAGCAATGCAGGTACAAGAAAGAAATAACAGCTTAGGTCATACATATGATCTGGCAGAATTGTCTTCTAAATTAGTAAGATACATAATTGTACAATGGGTTACCATGAAATCTTCATCTTCTGTGTCCACAGAGTCAGAATCGGTGCAGAATTCCCGGATGTTGTCCTGTAGATAGAAGCTTTTGTTTTCGTCCGTGACGCTGAACACCAGGACAAACTCCCGGTCCACCTTCTCACGGCCGTTCGCTGTCAGGGCTCCTGGGAAGTACAAGTTAAAGATGTAGGATGTTAGCATGTAGTAAAGGAAGCACAGGAAAGCTGATTTGAGACTAGCACAGACTTCCATATGCAAAATTAAAAAAATAAATGTTTTGAAGTTACCCAATGCAGCCTTCGGGCGAAAAAACAAAAATATTCTAGATGAGGAAATTTGCCAATATTGACACTTACTGCCATTCTGTAGCACGTTTTCGTCATCATTTCATACGTGAAGCGTTTGAAATAGCAAAGAAACAAGCTATGCGAGGAGTCCTTTTATTTCTTGGTAGATAGAATCCTTGATCCCACGATACGAAAAAAAAACATTTTCCATCTGCGACATCCAATTTTGCCTCACTGATATCAGTATGCCACGGGACAGGTTTGACTCAACTTAACTACATTGTCGACCAGAAAATTAACTTTGAAATTTCAGTTTTACTGCCCTGAAATCGCTTCGGGTGCCTTTAACATGTTACCCTTTTTACAGATGACGAGCGGCCCGGCCAGCCCGGTGTAGATGTCCCTGCTGTGGTCCTGGTGCGAGTGGTACATCCACGTCAGGCAGTCGGGATCGTCCTCCAGCGGGGTGTCCACCTCCCGCACCCGCCACGTGTACGTGTGCGTCCCGTTAGGTGGGACGAAGTCGTCCAGCTTGCTGGCTCCGCTGGTGCCATCTTTGTAGAGAGATCCTGTGGGAAACGGTTCGTTATTGATAAGATGACAGGGAAGTATCTCAATAGTGACGGGGGTCGACACAGACTTCCAGGGACCTTTTCTCCTTGCGCGAAACCCGTAATGTATTGTGCAAAGCACTTCGGCAGAACGTCTCGTTTAAAGGCGAAATCATGTATTGGGCATCACGTCTACGATTACAAAAATTGTCTGCGACGGCTGAAATTTTGATGCAAAGTTGGCCAAACATCCAACTTAAACCGTATAAAATCCGGGTTTCGCACAGGGTTGTACGTCACGTGTCAGAAGAAACAAACTAACGCACAGAAAATGTCACTCTGGGCAAAGGTAATCATTACACTTTCAACATACCCTCTGACATCTTGTCATAGAGGACACCATGCGGATGCATCGAGCAGTGCAGCTTTGGCAACAGGTTCTTGAAGTGGACGGTGATGACGTCACCGACCTCACCCTTCAAAACCGGCCCAAGAAAGCCCAGCCAATCAGGTCGCTCCGTCTTCACGGTGTAGGTTTCATCCGTGTACTCCCGGAACAGCGCCTTTTTGTAGACAGAGCCGATTCGGTTCGGCCCTCTCTCCAGAAAAACACTAGCATCACTGCAAAAAGAGAGAAAATTGATGATATGACTGCCTTATTACATCAATAAACCATTCATTAATATCATTGCACCTAAACTAACAAGCAAGTGTCTCCTAAAAGCCCTGAAATGGTTTCACACAGTGAGATTATATATATTCTGTATGACCTCATCTAACTTGGACCACTGACAACTTTAGACCTAGATCTCACCGTCAGATGCTGACTACAATATTTCCTTGTCGTGCTACATTATCCAGATGTGACTTTCCTAGCTTGACAGCACAGACGGAGTTGGGACAAGTTCCAGTCCGTCTACCGTACAGAGAAAACCATGCTTACTTAGAAGTCCTCCATATGTGGAAAACAAGATGAACATGACGCCATCACCTTGACACAACCTTGGAAGGGCAAACTACCACTACTTAATAGTGTGACCATCATCTGTTTTGCCCCTCCCCCACTTAACTTGCAAACTCATCGCAAGTAAAGAATTTAACAGACATTCTATCATGTCCAATACACAGGCCATTATACTTTTATAGCCTGTTGTGTATAAACTAGTCATCAGAGTCAAGCATCTGTAAAGCTACGCGCCGTATTCTCATGATTTCCTTATCGCGAGATCCAGATGCGGTTTTCTGTACGTGACAGCCCATACAAGACTTGGCCAAATTCTGTCCTGTTGGCCTAAATACGAACCCTGATTACATATAGAGCTCTACAGTATAAGAAAAACAGATTGCGTAACGTCATCACCAAGGACTCTCTATCAAGTTCAACACATGGCCTTGGCCTGAGGAGTGCCTAGTCAGCAAAATATTATTTACACCGAAGTCAAGACAAGAATCCAGCTAAAGCCACACGCGAGCTGCCAACAAGGAACGAGGAAATGACTTCTGGAAAGGGACGTGTGACCTCTGCCAAACAAAATTCGCTGATTTAAATATGTTAGAGAGCTAGCGGCACTCGGAACACCACAGGAAATAGACTTTGAAACACACATGAAACAATGGCAAACAACTGTCTACTTTGCCGACTTCGTAAAAAAATATAATTGGCGTCAGCGATTTGGAAACACTGCAACATTTACAACATTATAAACTAACCAGGCACTCGTACGCGTGCTATGGAAAGTTGCACAAAATTTAAAAACCTTAACAACTCATGAATTGGTTCCTTCCTACTCCCTGAAGTTTCCGAATCTCCAGAAATATTCGTCCAAAATATATTTTTAGTCAAAAATATGTATAATTTTAGTTTACAGTCGTCTTGCTAAAATATATCATCAGAATGAAATATAACAGTTATCCCTACCTGTCGTTCACCACAGGTAAGTCAGAGATCATGTTGTACCCAAACGGTGCATAGTCCCAGTACATCTCTTCTGCAGCGACATAGTGCACTCTCTCCACACCGAGAGCCTCTGTAGCGAGAGACAAGAGAACCACGGCTACAGCCAAGCTCGCCATCTTCTAAACCTCTAACCGGGACCTCTACTGGCGACCCTATATGTCAGGACATTTCTGGAATGTCGCCAAATGGGATCCGTCAGTTTCTCACTTCCCTGTTTACTTGTGGCGACATGTGTACTTTATCTGCAGTAAGTTGGAAAATCACCAAGCTAATCTGACCGACAAACGCTGAGCCGTCACACTACGGAAAAACTCGGGCTCGGCCACAAGAATGGATCTGTAAAATATAGCAGCTTGTAATGTAGGTTATGCAATGGCAGCCAATGTATCTACAATCAAGATGTGAATGAAGCAGTAAGTTTTTACAGACATGAGGCTGAAAGTACCCACAGGATGGATTTGACACCTAACTGACGCTTTGGGGGCGAGGTCATCTGAGGTCATGGTACTACCCACAGTTTTTGTCTGACGAAGGACACAATAGATAAGCTCTTAAGGGGTATGACATTACAGACGTTAAGGGGAGCCAGGTAAGATTTAATCCAGGTCTCTTTTCTCTTGTATCAATGTCCTTAATAAAAATTGTTGGCGCTGCAGAAATACTTTGTTATACTCTAAAAGCGTACTTTGACACAATCTTATTCCAACCCCAAGTGCTCATGGGTAAAAAAAGTTCATGTGCGCCGCCATCTTGTTTTCGAACCGTGCTCACTAGAGGCATGTCAGGTAGACCCTATCAAACCTTGAACACGTGCTCGGAGCTATGCATGACACGAGCCTGACACAATGAGTCGTTCTAGTGACACTCCCAATAACCTGTTCGACCAGGTACTGTATTTTAAGACAACGTTCTGATGGTCACGTAGCGAGTATAGTAGCCATGTTGTAAACTGTTAACCTTGTTCTGCATAGTGTTATTATTGTTTTAGATTAAAGGGCGAGAGTATGCTTCATTTCACAATAACGTAGTGCCTGGACACCCCAAGAAGACGTCAATAGCGCGCTACATATGACGACATAGCCGGGTAAGTTGGCCTATCGTTTCACTCACGATGAATATCAAACCTTCGCATCGAAGTGTATAATCATGATCCGTGCAATATTGTTAAGAAACAACACACTTTAAGAAGTAACTACGGCAGTGTATCTCCTTAGCACTCTTTTAGGACCAGGGTACAACATCTGCACATGCCTCTGTGCCACTAGACGGCCACGTTCCTTATGTATGTGTAATGACTTGAGTTAAGTTTACACAAAGGTTAACCCCCTCCAGATATAAACAGTGTATTCATTCCAGTACTAGATAGACTATCTGTACTTTTGTGCAAATGTATCTTAATTCGGTGTCAGAACAGAACCCCTGTATCATTTGAAGAGAAATGACAACTATAGTGGGACGCTCAACCAATCGATTTAAAAACATATACCCAACAAATTGTTTGGTATTCAAATTATTTCAATATGTTGTTCCTAGATCCTGCGCGTATTTTAAGGCTAATCGGAGGTTTTGACATGTCACTAATGTAATGCTGAACCAAACAGTACAATGGTGTATACTGTAGCGTGATTTGATAAGTAACAAGCAATCACGTAATGCACTGTGCTAAGAATATAGCCACGATTTGATCACATAGGTCTTTATGTGAACATTAATATTAACATTAACAGCCACTGATGAAATCTCATATATGCAGCTTGTGTTTTATAGCAGATATAGGTACGCAACACGGTCAGCCATGACGACTGAGGTTGAAGCAGGGAAGAGAGGCTCATCGTGTGAGTATTAACACATTTCGACGTAACATTCATGTTGTTCTATGGCTGTAAACTCATAAGTAAAGAAGCTAAATGGTTACAACTGATATCATACACTTTTGGTAAACGGTAATGAATTCATCACTAAACTGTGTGGATGGTAATCCTATCTATACCAACTAAGAAAGTTGTTGAAGTTGATGTATAGACATTACAGAGGTTTCAAGCGCAATATAGTGTCTTTACTTTTTACTAAAAGATAAGATTGCTCTAATCCTTCAGGGAAAAATGAATCCTGGAAAATCCTACAAGAGTATATCGGACACGAAGAGTTCATAAAAAGAAGAAAAGAAGCAGTCAAGGTATCCCTTGCTATTTTGTATGATTGACATATAATCATAGAATTCTTCTCCTTGAATCTCTTTGAAGTGCCATAATTCGTACAAAAACTAATCTAGAGTTTTTGGGTAACCCTAATTTAGGGTTTCTTGGTAGCCCTAATATAGGGTTTCTTAGTAACCCTAATTTGGGGTTTCTTTATAATCATAACCACTCCGTTATGATATTTATAAATATCTCATTTCGTCTGACAGAAGAGTGACAGCTTTGGGGAACATAAGAATGGACCTGTTGAGAAACCCAAGTCGGTGAGAAGCCCTTTTTTACTTCGGGAGTGAATGTCATTTTCCCCATACACAAATATCCTTAGTCAGAAGCCAGCAAAACTGTTATTTGTGTCTTTTACTCATTATTCATGATTTATTGTTTAGTATGGAGTTGTACTCAACACCATCGGTATTCATATTTCTTGGACTCAACTTGGTCCCCTAGCCGCTTTTTCTGGAACAACTGTTTTATCTTTTAGTTTGTAAACCGGATACATGTATGTTGTTCATCGACATCAAATGCAGGATTTTTTTTCTTTTCAGGCGTTAGGATCCGTCCAGCCACTGCTGGGCCAGTCGGATAAGGTTGCCCTTCAGACGAAGCTGCAGAAGCTGAAGATCGCCGCCGTTGCCGGGACCGCGACCGCCGCTAAACGAGCCTTCCACGCCCCCGGTATCGGCGCGTCGGGGTTCGCCGTGGTGGTTGACAAGGTGAAGTTTCCCGAGAATGACTTCTTCCGCCCCCGCACGGTGTTTCCCGTCCGGCTGCGCCACTCCAACTGCTGGAGCGCCGACGACGCCGCGGCGGACATCCGGGGGGCCGCCATCAAGTTCGGAGACACGGACGGGGACAGCTGTTTTGAGATGGTCTTGGATACAGGTAAGAGTAAAGAAGAATCGATACTAGCTTCACTTATAGATTCTTTGTAAATGCCCTGCCTACTAGTCCTTATTGCTGTATTATTGTTCACGTGTATAAAGGCGTTTTAATTTTGTGTTTTAATTTTGATTTCAGGCGTGATGGCGCCATTTTGGGACTTACCGTCTTACGAGGAGTACGTGGCCGCCATGAAGGGAGGTCCGGACAGGCTGCAGGAATGGTGCTGGAAAGGTCCCATGAAGTAAGACTATAGCTACATTTATTATCAAGGTCTGCTACAGACTCAAAGCTCCGTTTAGAACTTGAAATCCGTTTAGAAGTTGAAGGCCCCTATTCTTTAGTGTCAAAGGGACTTGACGTTGACAATACATGTACATCAAACTGCAAGTGCGCATTCTAAACCGTGAACTAACTTATTCATGGATGTTTGGTAACATGTTTTCCTCCATTCACTGACCAGTTACTACATCATGGTGGACAGTCTCCGCCGGGCTCCAGACTCCTACTTCCAGCTCATCTACCACTCCCAGACCTGCTTCGCGTTCCGGGGGAGCGACAACGTGCCCCGCCTGGCCAAGTTCAGACTCATCCCGACTAACAAGGACCCAGAGTCCGGTCTGTTGGACCTGGAGCAACAGAGACAAGTGTGGTAATTATTTCACTGCCAGTGCGTTGGATGTTTAGCCTTAGCTGTGACGTTCTTAGCATCCGTGCCCCACTTCAGGCACGTTGTGATTATCACCATGAACATTTGTCCAATATTCTAAGGACTTCGAGATACTCAACTTAAAATGGTGAGTTCAAACAGGCGCGGTTGAGACTTATAGAACATGAAAATCTTACAGATCTCTGGTCGGTCATTCAGAGTCTACACAGTGATATCCAACACCTTTCAGTGATCTATAAGTAGTCTCAATAGCCAATGTTTTTTGGTCATTCTTCGGTCACCCGTCGGTCTCCGTCCGAGTATGCTAGAAGGGAGCTGAATGGAAATTAATTTCACCTACTTCTACGTACCTCAAAGTGACCTTGAATGAAGTAATCTGTCCGCCGCCATTTTGTTTCAAACATGTTCGAGAGCATGCTGGGAAGAGCATAAATTATATACTGCCATAAAACCATTTCGTACATGAAAACTGCATCATATTCTCATTACGCTGTAGGAACACAGCGCGGTTACCAGACGAGGAACGTCCCAAGGACTACCTACGGCATGAATATGCAGAGCGACTGATGAAAGCTTCACTCAAGTATCGTCTGCAGATGCAGCTGCACACCAAGAAGGCATCTGATACAGCCAGCATCTGCAACCCGTACAGGTTATTATTATTACCTTCGCCAAGAAGGTTATGTTTTCAGAGGCGTTCGTGTATGTGTGTGTGTGTGTGTGTGTGTGTGTGTGTGTCCGTCTGTGGACACGATAACTTGAGAAGGCTTTAATGGATTGTCTTGATACTTGGTAGGTGGGTAGATCTTGATGAGACCTGGAAATAATTAGATTTTGGACCCCCTAGCAGTTTCTTATGGTACTGCAGCTGAACTTCCGGTTTCGATATCTCATGAGTTATGTAGAAGTAAAACAACTAAGTTCTACATGTACAGTGAAGTGTCTTGTCTCCAGGTGTTGGGCGCCCGGGGACCATCCGTGGTATGACGTAGCTGACGTCATCATCACCACCCTGCTGAGAGATAACGTCATAGCCAGAACCAGTTTCCACATCGCCAACCTGCCGCCATGTTTGAGCCTGATCGAGCCCGAGTCCGTGTACGACTATAACAGCATCAACTACATCCGGAGCAAAGTTTACCCAGCAGCCCACGCGGCCAGACTCGCAAAGTACTAATCTCCAAGCAGATTCGGTGGGGCAGGGGACTTTATGTTGGCCGAACAATAGATACAGGTGACCAACATAAAGTCCCCTTGCCCCACCGAATTTGCTTGCAAATTACAAAGTACGTCATCTTTGAGTTAGATTTGCACTTGGCTCCTGGTGTCCCTAACACAACGGTGAACCGTCACAGAATCTTGCTATATATTTCACTTGGTTCTTCGCTATGCTTTTGGCATATTCTCTTTCTATGTACATTTTTTAATCAAAACACCTAATTCGAAAGGCCTGTGCATAACTAGTGATGATAGTTAGCTTCTAGTTAGTTTCAAAACGCTGATGGAATTACACTCTTGAAGTAGGTGTTGAGAATCTGCGTGGAGATGAAGTCAAAAGGCTAAAGCGACAATATTTGTGACGTTTGTGACGTTGTGACTATTTTTTATGACGACCCCCCCCCCTAGACTGAGAGGTTTGCCGCCCCTCCGAGGTCCGATAGAGTACGAGCAGCAGCCCTACAGCGTGGAGATGCGCATGGGGTCGAAACAGGGCATGCCGGGACTAAAGGGTTATCTGAAGGTCGTCCTGACCGGGCCCTACAGACGCACGGAGCCCACCAGTTTGTCAGAGGTTTGTCTGAACCATTCTTTATTCATGACAAGCTCAAATCGGCCTGCAGACCACCGAACATCTGCTTTAATATTTAGATAAATTTTAGCCCTTCATCTACTGTCGCTATGATATCACACCATTCACATGTCATTCTGGTGACCAGACGGTCACACACCTTGGGGCTGTTCTTGTTAAAGTATCCGCGGATGTCGCCTCAGAATACAGATGTAGCCGCCCAGAGGAACCCATCTTTTTTTTTTACATTCCAACATTTAATGACTAAACATGGTGACAGCACACTCAAGTTATATCAACTTATCTTATGCCGCCACCAACGCAGAGGACGAATACAGGACGATACTCATTTTCACTTGAGTTGAGGAAAGTCGTAAAAAGTGCCTTTCACAAGGGCACAAGATCGGTGGCATGGTGATTTGATTGATTTGATTTGATTTGATTTATTGAAATTGCAACCGTGCAATACACGCGGAACAGAGGCAGCTGCTCCTGGTGTTGTGTCCCGCACATAGAAACAAATACTGGACAGACAATACTCATTTTCACTTGAGTCTAGTGAGGAAAGTGGTGTAAAGTGCCTTTCCCAAGGGCACAAGATCGGTGGCATGGTGGCATGTCAGGACTCGAAACCGGGACCTCTTGGTTTCGAGTCGAGCACTCTGCCGTTACGCCACACGAACCCACTCACGAATCCATCTTTACCACGAGAGTGTCTTTTCCCTCAGGGCTATAAGACCGGGAACTCGCAGGTGTTTTCCATGACTGCTGCAGACGTGGGTGAGGTGCTGATGGTGACCATGTATAACGAGGGCGGGCAGGCGTGGTTCGTGGAGAGCATCGTGGTGGAGGAGGTCCGGCGGGGAAGGTCCACGGAGTTCCCCGCACACAGATGGATCACCGACATGGTCATGATACGGAGGGGGAAAGGTACCTTTAACTAATTTGAATAAGTAATTTTACTTCCCTCTATTCATACTCTAGGGGGTCCATTATCGAAATTGCCCTATATGCTATCGACAAATATCGTACAGTTGTAAAGTTCAAATTTTGTTCCAACACAAGAAGGGAACTCACCATAAATTTTCGATCCTACCAACACAGATTGGTGTTCAGATTCATTCAAATATCGTCCAGATTTATACCCGCACTTTCAGTTATTATACACAGTGACCTCCACCCCTGAGGCGTAGCCAAAAAAGAATACGATACGATTTTGGCAACCATATAGATCCATTTGATAACGTGGAACTCACACTTCATCTTCTCTCAGCTGCCCTTCTGTGGACAAGAGAAGAGGACGTCCTTCTGGGTCAGCGCTTATTCGAGATGCAAGAGCGTCGGAAGCAGTTTTCCTGGCGGCACTCTGACACAGGTTTCCCCGGCAGGCTGGCAGCTAGCAACGCCCAAGACCTGCCCCCAGACGTCCGTCCCAGCGAGAGCATGCTGCAAAAACTATCTGGCATATCCGACAAGCTCACGCTGCCGAAGAACATCCTCAGCTGCCTTTGGGAGAAAGACAAGATGGAGAACTTCGTGGAGTTTAAGAAGATGGTTCCGGAGGATGTTTACAACAGACATCGACTGATCAAGCACCTGAAGTCAGACGCGGAGTTCGGGAGACAGTTCCTGGACGGGTTCAACCCCCTGGCACTACGGCGATGCAGGCAGCTCCCGGAAGCGTTTGAGAAGAAGACGGACGAGATCGAGAAGCAACTGACCGGTGGAAAGTCCTTGTTGGAAGAGATAGAGGTGAGGCTATGGTCTAGTACGAAGAAAGTAATACCACCTTTCGCTGAAGCGTCAACTTAGCGACCATAAAACTTTTTAAAAGCTTCTGCTTAGTAACGGTTGAGTAAAAAAAAGTTATAAAATGACTATCTTTCATCACCAACGTTTAAAGTTTACAAGGGTTAAATTCTAAAGTGACGTGGAAAACTGTTTTAATTTTTCATGTTAGAATTTCAAACAAGTTTAAACTGTGATTTCATACACACACAAATTTGACTTACCCAAATTTTTTTCGAAACTCTACTCTATATTTTGTCTCCGGCCCATGTCTCAGGCCGGGCGTGTGTACGTGGCGGATTATGCAGCCCTGGCCGGTCTCCGCGGGAACATCAGCGGCCGGGACGTCTTCCATCTCGCCGCGCCCACGGCGCTGTTTCACCTCACCGCGGCAGGAGACATGCTTCCACTGGCCATACAGGTAAGGTTCTGTCTGGAACGGAATCAAGTAACAGTTACTTGACCACCGCCAATATTGGTGGGTTGAGTAGATACAAGATGGCGGAGTGTTATATATTCTGAACTCAAAATCATGATATCGACGCACGATGGTCAAATTGGGCCTCAAAATTCCCAGACATTTTTCGAAGCCGAATCATGTTCGATGTGACGTCTTTCCAACAGAACGTGTGTTTTATTTGGGGTCACTAGCGGCATTTGCATAAACATTAAAAGGCGAAAGTAGGAATGTTGAGATGAATATCTTATAACTTGTCTGTTCTATTTAACACACCAACATGAGGGCCACTAAGTTACCAAAATGTCCATTTCAGTTGAGGAAAGACGAAAGAGTACGGAGATGTGTCTGTTACTTATTAATTTGTTTGTTTGTTTGTTTGTTTGTTTGTTTGTTTATTGTTTGTACAGTTATACCAGAAACCAGGGCCACACACCACCGTCTGGACCCCCGCCGACCCCCAATGCGACTGGATGCTCGCCAAAATGTTTCTACGCAATGCAGATGCGCAGGTACATGTATTTCTTTTCGTCATTATTGAGCAAAGATAACTATTACACACGTGCATGGTTCTAGCCTCTTAAGACTCTTAAGCTTCTGCGCACAGTGGTACCAACCATGATTGCCCAGATGAAGATGACAGACGGTCGTCGAAACGTCTGTGCTTGTTAAAGTGCTTATGAATGAAGAACTTTGATATTCAATCATTCCCCAGCCTGAAGAAATGAGGACGTGTACTTCAATTATTCAAAACTCTATACTTTTTTTCTCAGGTCCATCTCTTCGTGTCTGTCTTTCTGAAAACGAATCTACTGAACGAGGCGTTTGCCGTCGCCACCTACCGACAGCTGCCGGCAGCGCACCCGGTGTTCAAGCTGCTGGCTCCCCACCTGCGGGACGTTTTCGCAGCCAACATCGTAGCGAGGAAAGAAATGCTCGAGGTTTGTAGTTTAGTTGTGAGAAATGTTAGAGGTTTGTAGTTTAGTTGTGACAGAGTAAATGAATGGACATACAACAATACGCCAAAACAGTTACGTGTACTACAATAATTTTCAATATAAGCAGCATAATTTTATGTTTATGACAAATGTTATCGAAAATTTTCGATGAGTCTGTTGTTATACCTGCATGCCGACAAAGAAATTTACGATTTGAGAGGTTACATATTTGGCCTTGTGGTTTCTTGACATCTTGTCACCTTCTAGCATCATTATTTAGGAACAAGACATAAATTCCTCTGCAGGAATGGTCAGTTATTGATGAAGTCTACTCCCTCGGGTTAAAAGGACGGCGTACACTGATCGCCAGAGCCTCCTCAGAATTCAGCTGGCGAGAACTGGTTCTCCCCGCCTGGCTACACGACCGGGGTCTGGACAAACTCCCGGAGTTCGTGTATCGGGACGACGCCATGAAACTCTGGCGGGCCAGCAGGTGACACAAAAAACATTCTACTCCAAGAAATTTCCAGATACCGTCTAGTTTCCAAGACGATCTTGTTGAAGTGTAAGATGCCCTTTGAATGATGTGCTTTTCTGTCAGTCTTTCAGAGAATCTCAGCAGTCAAAAAAGCCACGATCGTCCGCCACAAGATTGAATACCATCTTATAGATGTTTTTATGAGGAAACTGGCAGAAATCCCGTTGCTATATTGGTCGATAGCTACAATAGATTACAACACAGTTGAGAAAAGCGCATTGAATTTTCGGTCCTCTCTACTCTATCGATATCCTTCTTCAGGTTTGAATGATCAAACACTCAGAACACGTGACCTGACGCACCGAAAATTATAGGTATTATAACCTACGTTATATAACTTGTGACGTAACTTCCCCCTCTTTTGCTAAATCTATCTGCAGAGCATTGGTCGACCGCATCGTGTCGCTCTATTACGAGTCTGACCAGGATCTTGCGGACGACCTGGAGCTGCAAGCGTGGATCAAAGATCTCCATGACAACGGGTTCAACTGGGAGAAGGCCCATGGAGAAAGTATGACGTTGAATTTATTATGTGGAGCCTGCTTAGCACATGTGCTTTCTCTTACATGTATTATCAATATGCCTGCACATTTACTTTGCACTAGACTATGGAAAGCCATGTTTTAGAGCCATTGTTTTGTATTCTTATTAATGACCTGTAACATGTAACCACCTTTAGGGATTAACTCAATTCTGCAGAATTTTGGGAACTGAAGCCAGAATTCTGGGAAGAATTCTGCAGAATTGGGTTATTCCCTAGGGGGTCCTTGATGGCTGCCACGTATTTCTTACGTCATTTTGCCCTACAGTTTACGGTATCAGCCCATCTCGATGTAAGGTTGCTGAGATGTGGGAATTAGTCCGGAATTATGTTATGTTTTGTTAATAACTCAGGGGCCTTCAACTACAATATACTACCCACAATACATCACACTGCATGTGTGCATTGCAAACCGGTACCGTGAATCAGCGTACTGTATATAGAGTTGAAACTCGGCCGTATCATGACATAACCCTATAGTTCAAAGCTGAAAATTTTACACCTTCTGGAAATGCCCCTCGCAGATGTACCGAGTAAACTCAGCACACAGGCGGACCTGGTGGACCTGGTCACCGGCATCATGTTCAACTGCTCCGCCCAGCGCCGCGCACTGACTGCCGGGATGCGTGACATAGCCAGCTTCATTCCCAACGTCCCTTTCGCCATGAGAGCCCCTCCTCCCACCAGGGCGGCAAGCGTTAAGCTCTCTTCTTTTCTGTTATATGTAATTTCTAGTTTATAACGTCTGAAAATTGGTAAAAACTCAGCTCAACAAAACTCAACAAATTGTAGTAAAAACTCAGCTCGCATGCATGAAGATTTGTCCCGTAGCGTAAGTAGTGCCATACATGACAGACATTTGATATTTGAGGAATATCTCAAAAATGATATGTAATTCAAAGCAACCACTAAGCTACCGTGAATTATATTCATGACACCACGAACATGTGCCTCCAGTGTAGACCTACAGTACTACAGAATTTCCTGGCACTTTTGATCAATTGCTTACGTCACGTAAAGTCTCGTGTGAATAAGGTCACGTGTCTGTATCCGTAACTCTCGCGAGATTACGTATTGAAGTGATCGGTCAATCATTATCCTGTTTAAGGCGACTGTGGTCGTTGAAAATTTCACCTTTTGTGTTGGAATGAAGTTCAACTTTTCACTATGATTACTACGAACACAGATGAACTTTCATGTTAGTAGTACTGAATTGTTTCAAGCACGAAGTTACAACACCGAGAAAACCTCATGTCCCATTCTACCTTGAAATGAAGTCTCCTAAAAATTAAGCGAATTTATAGTGCATTAACCTGTGTGTTGATTTTTCAGTCATCAACTGGTGATGGTCTGCCTGACAGCTCTGATACCCACCAGGAGGAGGACGGTTTGACGAGAGCGAACAAGCAGCAGCTCCTGGCCGCGCTACCGGACAGACAGACCGCCCGGAAACAGATCGCTCTGGCCGCTGCCATGTCACGGGGCACCGACAAGGGGGTAAGGGACATGGACCTTCGCATGAAAGTTCATCTGTGCTGGTATATATAATTAGTTATGACAAAAAGGGCTAATGGTTCTGTTCAACACTTGGGACTTGCCCAAATTTTCGGTTAACTCCGTCAGCCTTGTTCACGGAAAGGACCCGTCTACTGCAGCGCTTCCGAGGGCATCGGATCTGAAACACGTGATTGCAGCAGAGGGTCATACGTGTCGGATAACCTGTGTCGCCCCCCCCCCCCGTCTCTGTTCAGGGCCCATTCCGTAAACAAGGCTGAGGGAGTAAGCTGAAATTTTTGGTAAGTCCCAATTTACTTAGTGTTGGGCATGGGCCTTCATCTAGCTATAGAAAGTATTGCCGGCGTGTTCAAAGAGATTCTTTGTGTACTCAACAAAAGTACAGGGACCGAGTCACAGCCACAACCGAACGTTGTCGTCCAGTCCAGTCAAATTCGTGCTACAAAAACAGTTATAGGTTCGTTAGTACGTCAAACCATATCTTTGGTTGTGCCAATACATCCAGAACTCTATTTGTGGGTAATTCCTGGAGGTTTGAAATCTCCAACTTCTTGATTTCTTAAGTGGTAAATTTGCATACAGGGTATTTGTATCCCCTTTTACACCCCCCCCCCCAATTTTGCTATACTTTCCTGAAGATGTCTTGGCTTCAAGCGGTAACCTCAAACGTAACCGTGTCCTTAAGAAGACTACAGACGAGTTCAAAAGAGAACCATTAATTTCTCGACTCATCACTCAATTGGATGAAACCCTGGAGACTATTCCGTCTGCTACTGCTTCAGGATTCATTATATTTCCCATCTGCAATGATTAAGGGATGTTATATTCCTGAAGGCTAATTGTAGTGACAAGGCGCCATATGTTAGCGATATGCTAGTTCAAAAAACTATGAGGAATAAATAGTTTCCATTCTACGCTTCTATTCTAGCGTCTATATGATATCAAGGACATTATACAGAACATACTGGCATGTTTATGTATCATTTGCTGATTTCTGATTGTTATCATGCATGTAACATGTAGATAGAACATTTCAATTGCTGTAAACTAATGATTAGCCAGGAGTGCTATTGTAAAGTCATAGACCTGGCTATTGCTAAATGTCGGCCATTTCATACTCCACTGCACACAGAAAAGAAATCAACCCCAATGATAACTATATCCAAAGTAGCATTACCATTTACTTATTATCATTTTTACCGTTTATATGTTATCATGTTCTTGCAATTAGCCCTCGGGCATGAACTTGCGATAACTTTCATTGTTTATTTTAGCACATTATAGAAAAAATGCATACTGATAAATGTGATTCAAAACGGGAGTCACAAGGAAAATGTGCCAGTCAGAAAATAGGACGTAAGCAGCAAAGAAAAGTAATATGAAATACCAGCTAAAGACTTCTATGGATACTAAGAAAACGTCGCATCGGCGTATTCTGACGTCCAAATGCCCTGATTTCCCGCCGGGTCTGCGTTACTACGTTAGGAATAATCCATTTTGGTAGGAGACGACCGACAGAGACGCTCTGAAACCGTTCAAACTGCGCACGTGGTGACGTCACAGATTAGATGAAGTCTGATTGGCTGTGATCGATAACGCTTTCGGTTCGCTTCGAGTCGTGAGAAATTGCCTTGAGATTGGAGGGGGAGAGGCGGCTAAATGAGAAAGAATAGATAGTGGAACAACTTTTTATTTAGGTGAACATTAAAAACTACAACATAGGACATCGATTCAACTGCCATACCCTCTGATACCCTGAGCACAAAAAGTTATTTGCATCAATTCTCTCAAAATTGTGAAGAAATATTGTTATGTAGTGCTATCTAATAAAGAGATTCTAAGTGGACGGAGCCACCATTTGTTTAGATACAATACTAACTACCATTTTGAAATATTTAAAAACTTGCACATAAGTAATCCCCAATAATTCATTTTGGGATCGCTCGTTGAGTGGAACATACATAATTTGTTGCTTTGAGTAAATTTATTAGGCTCATTTAAGGAAATTCAATGCGCTCAGTAATTTATGTGAAAAGTTATTGTAAGTCTGTTTCTTGTGTTATTCCGCCAGCCGATGCTTGGTGAGTACCCGGGACGGTACTTCACTGACGAGCCCACACAGGCCGCCATCACTGACTTCCGCAGAACCCTCAAGAAAATATCACGTCACATCCACCAGAGGAACAAAAAAGTGAGTTTAAAGTCATATCCAGAATGTTTTACATTGTTGGTATCGCAACTCCCTACTATTTCAAGCAGAGAACACCATATATCCTTACATGGTCTGTCAATACAATTGTCATTTCTGTCCTTATCAATTGTGAAACATGCATATCTAGCGAAAAGTGACGTAAAATACAAATACAGTTATTGTTGTTACAAGAAAACAATTATTCAAGCAACTGGATAGATTTTGAAAATTGTCAGACGTTTCGAGTAGCATCCACTGCTTGTCGTTGGTGACTTGCTTTTTTTCTTGTATATCTCATTACCTAATGTGTAACCTCCATCGAAGGTTATTGTTGTTACTTACATGTACATGTGGCTACAGGTTCTATATCTGTATAACCGGTATAACCGCTACTCGGCGTAACACAACAGCTTGTATAGTTCACGTTCAGAATCAGGTGTCAACTAAATCGTTGCATCCAAGGTCTATCTCATTTTACAGGTGTGGGGCATAGAAGCCCAGGAAGTTGTCATGTCATTTAAAGGAACGTTCAGCGAACTGTCCAAGGTGGGGAAACGAACAATCGAGGTGCAGAGAGACGTGCCTTACAACTGTCTACTACCCGAGCATATACCCGCCAGTATAGGCCCGTAGTGTATTCATATACGCGCCAGTATAGGCCCGTAGTGTACGTACGTATACCAATATAGGAATGGTTTATCATGTTTAACTACTTCATAATTTGTACACTATATGTATATCTTGCCAACCAAAGGCTGAATTGAGTAAAGACAATATAATTGGGCCGTCGTTACATACAAGCACTACAGATAAGCGTGCATACCTTGAATAACATGCAGTAGAAATGGCAAGAGTTATAGACATTACAAACCCCGGTAAATCAAGGCCAAGGACGAATCTCACTACGACGTACATTCACGATCGATGTCAGCAAAATATGCTTAACTTGATTCAGTTCCTTTGAAACAGTAATATCTGTAATGTACTTATGGCTGATATGATATGATTATACTTGTACAGCTATAATGGAAAATGGCGCTCTATGATGAATACTTACATGATTATTGCAATTATTTTACCCCTGGTCGAATGATATCATACATGTAATGTAATGACGGTCAGTACTAGATTTTTTTTGTGTGTGTGTCTATATGTTAGCTTGTGTTTCAGCGCTTTTTCAACACGCTCACGTCCAGGACTCTGAAATGAAGTTAATTCAAATTCACGACAATGAACAAATCCAGAAATTTATGTAAGAAATTTTAGATATCTTACAGAGGTATGAAATCTTTTCAACTGCGTTCCACAGCACACATACCATTTGACCATTCCGATCATGTAACAACATACAAGGGACAAGCTCATAATCATACTTCGGAGTATCATGATTAAGCCTGCAAGCATTGTAACAGTACAGTAATCTATGTACAGTTTTATATAGCTCCATGCATATTATTTGTAGATTGTTGTAATTCGAAATTCAGAAGTTGCATCTGTATAGTGCATACTCATCATTTACAATCATGTTAGACATTAGCTTGTATTATCGTGAAGCTTAATGTTGTAAATGGCAGACAGAACTTTATTGCACGACAATTGTACGTGGTACAATGTATGGCAACGACTACTGAACATAGTACAAATGACATGTCCAATATGACAATACATTAATCAAATATTACTGCTCTCTCTCCCATTACAAATACCTGTACAGGTGGCGCCAATATGTTGCATTGAGAAAGCTTAGCTAGAAGTCGGATAACATTTCTCAAACAATAGGCCTGGGATTTGGTTGATCCCAGTGTCATGTCTAATAGAACGTTCCATCACTAACCCCCCTTGGTGATGTGTACTGCAGTCAGGCCGTGGTTTAAGGTGAAAGTCGCCCATCCGTGCAGCTATTCTCCTAGCCTCTGCCGGCAATATGGCGCCTGGGTTAAGTACGGTAATGGAACATACCGCCGGAGTTAGGCCTGCCTCCACGCGTTTCAACTGATCCAGTTTCCCGGGATAGTCTGTAGGCACAAATTGATGGATGTACGCACTATGCTGATTTGACGTGGCAATGTTTATGTATGCTTCACCTAACCGCTTCGAAGTTATGAAAAATTTAAAGTCGTTAATTGCATGTAGTACTATTCTTCTGTTTAAATCCTTTTGTGTTTCTATTTTTTTAGTGAAAAGGTACTAATGTGCTAGATTTGTACGTAAAACCAAGATGTGGTGGAAAATTACATATTTTGAAATAAAATGTTTTTGAAATAAGAGATTAACTTGTATTAGTCCTCTTGAATTTTACTTTCCTATCCTTTTATCATTTATTGTACTTGGCTTCGCAAGTTTGCCGTCATGGTTTTCACTGGCGTAGTCAAGAACTTCCAATCAATATGCCATTTCCCCCTTCAGTGGACATGATCTGATGTGTAAAGATCGCCCCCTGCCCATCAACTGGTTTATTGAATTGTAGACAACAAAATGCGGCACGTCTCGCTGAATAGACCAATTTCCATTTTCGGCGGCCATGTTGAAAGGTGCTCCCGCGAGAGTTCAGTCCTGCGGGAACGTACGTGATCTTGCACGAAAGTGAGGTCGACGAGGACGATTAGGTTTCATTCGACAGGCACGTATACACAATACTTGTCATCTTATATCATATTGTTACTTACTGTATAAAAAAAGTAAATCGATCATCTTCATCCATGGACGTAGAAATTCTACCTCCATGCTTCAACTGAGCAGAAGCAGTTTGAAGTTTCAAGAGAACTAGCGCAAGTATAGTGCAATGTAGCTCTGTAAATGTTACGTTACTTTGCTTTTTCGTTGCCTGCTTGTTCAGAACATGAAGGACAAAAAGAGTTTGTGTACTGGCAAACCTTATTTTTGTAATGTACGGAAACGTGTCTGTACGTATTAATCTAAAAGTGTTTAAACAATGGAAAGGATATTTATACGTTCTGCATGAGCTGGGTACGTCATGCCGCGTCACCGTGCCGTGCGTTGTGACGTCACAACTACGTCACAAATGGAGGAGCATCCGAAGACGCATAGCTCTGACGTCACCGAACACCGCCGCTTTCCGCTCGTTTCTGCCGATGTTAATGGGGCCCTTTATTCCGCAGCAGACGATTCAGCGTCACCGGCTCGGAAAATCATTAGCGTGAAATTCGACACCGGCAGTATGTAATGGGGTAAAGCAATCTCTGTGGCGTCACGGCATCAATACTGCCTACAGAGTGAATCCATTCACGGCATCCTTTATGGTTATACTGATCTTACTAATGATGTTCTATAGGTTCACTCTAATCCAGTACTACTTTACACACCACTCGTTCAAGAGATGGGGGCGTTCTCAGTTACTATTTGGATCCTTCCAGAATCTTATGGTATTTTTACATAGAATGGAATTGTGCCCAGTTGTACTTTATACAGTAAGTTGGGTAGGAGGATCCTTAAGCAGTTTCTTAAGGGGAATGACGTCTCCTTGTTCGAGAATCGTATTTACGTCAATGTGTTCTCGTATAAAATGGAATTCTGGCCCATGTACTTAGTCGTACTTTACAAACGAATCGCCCTACAGATGTTGTGTTCTATCTGAGTCGTTGTAAGGTAACGGAATCGCAGAAATCTGGGTCGAAAGATCCTCCCACGAGCTTATTTGCCTTTCAGAGAGAGTGACGTTTCTTTATCCCGGGGGATTTTCGTCCCTTCAGTGGCGATGCTTCAATTTCTACCGCAGGAGACAGAAGTGGGTTAAAGGTATCAGTGCAGTTGGGCTTGGGAACCAGATTTTTCAAAGTCAATATTTCAGTGACTTATCTAGTATACACTAAGTTGAAACAACACTATCTCAATGCATATCGACATTCATGAAGCGAAAATGCCCGACATTCTGACGAAAAATGGTTACTGGAAGGGTCCTTGGCTGATTTTAGGGTACCACCCATAAAATAAAGGACTTACCTTGAGGCTTGTTTCTGCAGTTTTAAATACACAAAGTATAAAATACTGATTGAAATGTGCTAATGTGAAGCAGTATGTGTCAATATTATAAAGATTGCCTTATTAAGAATATTTCCAGTTTTGCTGCTCTGAAATCGCATTGCATGGATGCCTTTAAGCGATGCTTGCCAGAATGTACGAGTACATATGTAGACATGTAATGTTGGGGGACAGAAGGTTGTTTGGGGACGTCTTCTCTACGCTAAGCTTCGCCACTTCGGCAGTTCTGGAGGCATGCGACACCCAGACGCAGGTGCATTATTCCTGTGGATTTTTCTCGCTCCACCGCCAGCCGAGTACCTATTAATTACGCTAACCCGTAACCAATTCCCTCATTATTGATTTATGAGGCTATGACGTAGCCCGGCGCTGCGCCCGTGACCCTCGGCGCTGCAGCATACGGGAAATTGATCACTGTTTTAGATTTCTGCATGGGGATGGAAAAATCAATGAGCGAATGACTTGTCCGTGTGGAGCAGCATACGACATTTCAGGAAGGGGGAGGGGGGCATGGACGCACCCGCGCCTTGTAATGCTGAGGTCACATTTCCAAACCGGGGCCCGGCCGGGATTTTTCGATTAACGAAAAATCAACAATTTATATCGTTAATGTACGCAAATAGTTCCCATTATTTTTTAATTTTTTAATTTTTTTCCAACTTTTAGTGTTTTGTTGTCTTTTGTGTCATACTTTTCGTTCCTTAAGACTGCCCAGTCGGGCCCCGGTTTTGAAATGTGACCTCAGCATAAGATGTTGGAAGGGAAAACGTATCGAGAAGGCCAAGGGAATGCTTGAAAACGTTACGATCCTCTCTCTGATAATGAATCAAATGTACTGTCAATTATTGTCAATTCAGAGCCACTATGGTCATTTGGGGGCACACAGGAACTCTATAAAACAACCAATGGGGACTTAAACCTCGTCCTTGAAACAACTTCAGCAGTAATTCACATTTTGCACAGCCTTGCTATCTTTTCTCTGGAAGTGTTAGCTAAAAGTTAGCCCCCGTAAATTTCCGTACAGCCGGGAAAGGGACAATCGAAGTTCCCCGATGGCGCCAAAGGTAGAATTAGGCAGTTACCGAGAAATCAAAGGGGTTTATCCTGCGATCTATACAGCCATTAAAGTACTAGTAATCGGCGCTTTGGAACGCCCTATGATTAGGTGTAATGGGTTTGGATATCAGTTACGTAAGAGATCAATACGTCAACGGTTTAACTGTTAATACTGGCTCTTTATCCCTTTTTTGGTGCCAACAGTTGTGTTATGGCTTCACCACACAACGTGGTGTGGTGAAACGTATTGTTTTCCATCCCGAGCAAATGTCGGCCTCTCTAGTTTCATATATATATATGTACTGCTACCACACAGGTCTGGAGATAGCGACCAGCCAAAAAGGTACTCGACTAGATTGGCCTGTGGGTTAGTGAGTGAGTGAGTGATCATTGAGTGAATGAGTGAGTGAGTGAGTGTGAGTGAGTGAGTGAGCACTTGAGAAGTTGCTGATGTAATATAATATGATACAATATAAGATAATATGATGTCTAACAAGTTTGTACATATGACAGCATCAGATCGCACACGTGATTTAAAAAACACAACTTCCAGCAATAGTTTCTCTTCTTTTAATTTATGAAATGTACACCTTCAATTAACCACGTACTTTACATGTCGGTTTCTATCATTTCTATCATCTTTTAATTTCGTCTCACAAGTAACAAGTTTTCGTACAAAACACATCACCTGCGGTCTCAAAGTTGCGTGGACTGATGAGAACTAGCCTCAAGTTTCTGTCCTCAGATTCGAAGCAGACCTTACAGCTTGGAGGTAACGACGGAGCGCTACAAGCAGTTTTACAATCATGGGGACGTCTTATAATGATTCATCTATGTGTTATACTTGCAATCCTATCGCGCGATGTCTAGCAGACTATAGATTAAGAACGGAAGTTAGAAGCCACATTTTACTTCTTTTTTTCAGCATTGGGGACAGAGCCTCTGTTGATAGATTCAGAAACAAAAGATATATATATTTACAAGCAGATCAGGAGTAATCAATTAGAATAAAATTTTATTGTAACAAACTGAATTAACCAAAATTATCAAAATGGCACGTGCTCAGCTGAAATGAGTAATCCTCTTTTTGTAGCCATAGCAACGTTACAGATATGACGTAATTTCAAATAAACACCATCTACTCTATTACGAGACTTTCGCACCTTGTATAGGAACAAGCAGTTTCCCGCCTTTTCAACATGCGCCAAATTTACCCGTAAGCCCATGTAAAAGTGTAAACCAGCACATGTGTAGACTACATCCACTACCTCCCAGTTCTTATTGCTCCATTTGTTGTGACTAGTAAACATGTATTACATCAAATGTTTAGAAGGGTGACAAATCACATGGAAGCCATGTCAACATTCTGGCTCGGAGCGTGCAGTACAGTACTGTTCAACTAGATGGCGCCAATGTTAGGATTATCAAAAAGCAGTAAGCATGTCTCAAGATCTCAGAGGTGTATTAAAGATTTTATTTTTTTCCGGTGATTGTTCTAGCCTTTATTTGCCGTTACCATCTAGTTGATGTTACCGTCTGTTTTCTGCATCATTTCGTACGATACTTATAGATGTATTTCTACGTTTGTTACGTTTTGAAAAGACGGCCTCAAAAGAGGCAAAATCTTGAGTTTGTCGTACGACCCACACCAGTGTGGGAACACGACAAATCCACACAGCCCTGTAGATGTTAGGGATAACACACCAAATTATTATTACTGACAGTTTCTTCGTCCTTCTTCGACAAACACAATCACACAATCTCACTACTTCCGATTTGACACATTGCAGCGTTACTCGTTGGGTGGAGATAGTTACTTAAAAACCTTTTACATCTTTTTAAGAAAATCACTCATAGGATATACTGTCGGTGAAATGTTACTGACACATTTTGTTGCAGTTCAAACTTGTTCAAAGTTAGCGGTAGTAGAAAATCTGCATTGTAAGGTACGACAACCAACAATCATCATCTCATGCCAAGTCCGCCGCATGTTTATGTCAAGCAACAACCTTAGCATACCGGCCTGTGATTCGCCCTACTTATTAGCGCTTGCCAAACACCACCAACCAATCACGCCGTCGCCCACGGTCAAGAGGCAACATGATTGGCTGGTAACCTTCCCTTAAACAAGAGGAGGGGGTGTATCTGATTGGCTGATAGCTGACCGGCGTACGCGTGTGTGGATAATTACTGTGACTGCTGCCGAAAACTGGTGTTTACAGGAAGCACATATAGGAGAGAAAAACAAAACTTTACCACCCGTTCACTTTTGCAGGCTTGAAACACGGCCTAATGATTTTTTACGTGTCTAGATCTTCGCTTTTAGAAAAGTGACCCATACTGAGTTATATAGACGTAAGTATAGTTATATCAAATGGGGTCGACTACTACGCAGATGCCATGGGCAACCGGGAATAACACCAACGACACACCTAGCAGTTATTCAAAATACCAAACGACCCAGGCGACTTAGAGAATAAAACAAATCTCAGTAATGTGCTTACAAACGCTACAAGTTCGGTTCTGGGCTGTACAGAATGGACAAATTAAGCAGGACAAAATGCAAAATGCAGCAATTACAAAACGGCTCTCTTCAATAACACAGTATTAAGTCCAGACATGCATATCGAATCTAGGCTAATTTGATTTCGTGTTGAATATTATGAAGGTTTGCTGCCTGTGCATGCAATGCTTCGAAAATGGAAAGATGTTCTCTTGATTAGTTAATATTCCCAGCATGCAGCGCGGCGTCTTGATCCGCCATGATGGATTGGAAGATGTTCCCAGCATGCTTTGCGATACCCTGATCCGCCATCATGATGGATATAAAGAAATGACAAGGGTGCGAAATTAATACTTAGCGTCGTTTTTGCAGCAGTATTGGGAATCAAACGAATATCCATACACGTGCGTGTATATTGGAATCAATTTCTTGACTCATTTAACTCTTGATTTATGTCTGGTACATTGGACACATTAGGATGGACGTCATTTACTACAAACGTTACTACAAACGTTGGAAACACAGACCACAACAACAGAATTGCATCCTTTGCTTGTTGTTGCACTTGTTTACACTGCATAGCGTTAGTTCAATTTGTGTGAGATAGGTAGACGGGGGGAGGGGGGCCAAAAAGGTTCATTTGGGAGGGAGAATGCCATTGGAAACAAGGGCACCTGATCCCCTCCATGTGCATGCACCCTGGGTTCCAGGAACTTATTTTCAGACTGGGGAGGGGGGCAGTGTGTATTCTCTCAAATATACAATCGAAACGTTAAACAGTAAATTATCAAACAGGGAAAACTGGCGATCTGGGCGAATCGTTAGAAAACGCCTTTTCTTCCGTGACACTTAAAATTGGAATGGGGCTGGAAACCCTTTCTTACTTGCAAAAATGTCAACGACTGTTCACACAGAACAGAACTACTACAGTAATGGTTATATACGTTGAAAATACGTTTCATTTGTACTACAGTATGTAAGCTAGCTCTCAAGCTGCAGAATTGTACCAATGCAATCATTTACATTTTACTTCGTCGAAATAACACCCCCATATTTCTTTGTGGACAACGCATTTGATATCATAATTGTCAGAATGTACTTTCTGGACATCATGTCACATGATCCAAAAAATACATTTGCTAAATCGCCGATTTTCATAAGTCATATTGTCATAAGTCATTTCGAAAAGTTGGAATTCATCTCTGTTTAAGTCTTTCTCCCGGAATGTAAAATATACATTTTTATCATGGTTGTCATCTACAAACGATATGACAAATGCCAATTTATATACAGCTGATCACTTCTAGTAATATAATATCAATTTCTTTTCCACTAATATCACGACTAGAACAGCAGGCGTACGTGTTAATGCAAACAAAAAAAAAACGTTTTCACATAAAATGGTAAGAAGTATTATACCACCAATCACAACGGACATACCCACTCTCTCCACAACAAGCTGTACAAAATCTTCGCGATTATTCGCGTAATTGTACAATCTATTCTCTTATATATATAACGGACTGAATATACTTATGAGGTTCTTGTAGACCAGCCTCAATTGCAAGGAAGGAGGATACCCCCTCCATATCGCTAATCGATTGAAAAGGAGTCTCTAATATTCGGGTTGATCCTTGAAGAGGAGCGACTTCAAATTTGTCTTCTACGCAGCCTTGTGTCTCTAGCCTTGGTCTTTTTTTATTTCTTAATCCTCTGTCAACCTGCTACCTCAGTGCACCTAGGGATGGTATTGGTAGGGCTTGTTACATAACTACCTTATTGCGTTAACTTTGCCCGTTTCACACCCTTTTCCCCCTAAAGCCTGATATATACATGTCATCATCAGTGGATAAGCCTTTGGGATTCCCCTACTTCACTCCTGCTATTTCCAACTCAATCTACAAATCTTTCTCCATCTACCAAATGACAGAAAGACGATTAAGAGGTAACTGGCATTCCTTAAAAGGTGTTGCCCTTGGAAGATTTAGCTGTCCTTATCTCGTCTGTCGCTGGAGTCTTTTCCCGCGAGCTGCATCAGCCGCTTCTTGAAGCTGCCCCTCTTCTTCTTGAAGCTGCCCTTCTTCTCTTTCTTCCCGTCTTCAGGAGACTCCGGGGAGTCTGGCTGGCTGGGAACGTCCAGAGTGATGCTCTTCGGAGGTTCGGGATGGGCCAACCTGCACGGAGAGGCAGAAGAGGAGAAGAATGTTACTCTCCAAGCAGAGTCTTGGGTTCTTTGCTTATTTTTGGCGTGTTTTTTTATCGGGGTTTCTTTTTTGCACTAGATTTTTTTATGCCAATCAAAAAAGAATTCAAGAAACCCCGATTAAAAAATCCTAAAAACACGCCAAAAATAAGCCCAAACCCAAACCTCCCATCCGGGCACTTTTGACGTCACGTTTCATGGAAGTCACGTGTTAAACGTGTGGGTCAGAGTACTTGACGAAGACCAAAGAGATGGTCGAAAATTTGTCATTTGGTCAATTTCACAATCATTCATTGACACACGACTACAGAGACAAGACTGCATTATGACGTCCGTACGTTTGACACGAAAATGATGCCATAGCATGTTTCGGCAGATAAAACACAAACACATTGCTTAACGAAACGATATATAAGGCAATAACATGATTGTCAGTTTTGTATCATACGATTTCATGAGATCTCTCGGAAAGCCGATTACTGAGTAATCCTGGCACTTATGGGTCAAGGTCAAAGCTGAAAATACCTGCTCATCTTGACGAATTCCTCGAAATCGATCTGGCCGTCGCCATCTTTGTCTGCGACGCGGATCATCTCGTCTATCTCGTCCTCCGTGAGATCTTCTCCTAGGTTGGACATCGCCCTGCGCAGCTCGGCGGCGCTGATGAAGCCGTTCCCGTCCTGTAGAAACACAGTCAGGGAAATGGAGAAGGGGTTTGCACTCACGTGACTGTGACGTCAGAACTGTCCGCCATGTTGGATGATTACACCTTCAAGTTGCAACGTAAATTAATTTCCAATTTGTATATGAAATTAATAATAATAATAATAATAGTTTATTGGCAACACTCCTTGTACATGGCAGCGTACAATACCGCTGAATTACGTACACAGGTTTAAAAACAATTAAACAATAAGGAGAGCTAACAAACAAAGGACATTGACAAACTAGATACCAACATAAACAAATACTGGCTGTACACAGATATAGATCAGAAGTATCTATTGATTAAAAACTATATTGGTCCGGTACTGGGAGAATTCAACCTAGGTCTGCTTATTTAACAAATCAGTGAAATAGGGGATTGGGCTCGTTTTATACCGCTTTGTTTTCGTCAAGGGAATGTCGAGTTGGTTTGCCCCCTTCAGGCATCTGCCATGAATATCTGAGCGGGATGGGGGTAACCAATGTCGGAACGCAGGGGAGTTAAGGAGGGACTTTGCAAACTTAAGACTGAGGGCTTCTCTTCTTTTCTCTAGGGACGGCAAACATAATTGGGACAGGGCGATGTTGTAAGACGTGTACAGGGGGCCAAGGATTATCTTTACTGCTCGTTTTTGTATGCGTTCAATTTTTATTACTTGATGTGCGGAGATACTTGAATTCCAAACTGGGGCCGCATATTCAAGGGTCGGGCGTATGTATCCTTGGTAGAAATCGCAAAGGTCTTGAACAGGGAGTCCGGAATGTTTCAATTTCTTCAGCCAGAAAAGACGTGAGCTCCCCCTCTTTGTTATAACTTCAATATGTTTGTCCCATTTCAGGTCCCCCGAGAGCCATAAACCGAGAATACAGGCGGATTCGGTATATATAAGGGGCTTATTATGAAGTGTTATATTAGGGGGTGGGGGGGCAGTCTCTCATAAAGGAAAAGGTCATGAGCATACACTTATCGTCATTTAGCTTCATGTCGTTATTAATTGCCCAAGAGTTGAGTCGGTCCATAGATGATTGAATTAGGCTCGCTTCACAGAAAAGTCTGCTCTCGCATACCGACAGGTCATCTACGTATTTATAACGATTTAGAATGTCATCTTGTAAGGCGTCATTGACATATATAAGAAAAAGAATCGGCCCCAATTTAGTGCCCTGAGGCACTCCAGAGGAGATTCCTTCCCAATTTGAGGTTTTGGTACAGTATCGGACGCACTGGCTACGGTTTGTAAGGAAGCTACATATCCAAGGCATTATTGACGCCCTTACCCCATGTGTCAGCATCTTGTTAATTAGCTTGGTGTGGTTTATCCTATCGAAAGCCTTACTGAAATCGGTTATTAGTATTGTTTGAACGCTTTTAGGGGTTTCGGCACCAAGGACTATGTAGTTAATTAAACTGGTTAGATAATGGACCGTAGACCTTCCTTTCCTGCTTCCAAACTGATTGGGATCTATCACTTTACCTATGTCCTGAAGAATCCACTTAACGATGTAGGATTCAAATGTCTTTATAAGAATGGAGGTCAGGGATATTGGTCTTAAGGTTACAGTCGGTAAGAGAAGGAAGAAGTTTATTGCTCAACAATTTTAATTTTTCTAGATATATGCGTTTCCAATATGGCACAGCCATGATAGTAAGACACTATACTATGAAGTGAATGGAAGTAATATCTAAGCAACGTGCATCATGAATGAATAAAAGAATCTTTAGTACTCATACATTTGGAATCAGACTGAATTTTGTTGATATCTACAAAGGTCAGGTCATGTATTAACACTAGAATTCACTTTTATCAAAAAAACATGTTTCAGTTTTGAGGACATAACGTTTTTTCCTTAGACGATGTGTCAATTTGAGTTTTGTCATGTTTATGTCATGCCAGTCTATGTACATGTACTAGTACTTTTCTCCCGTTGATATAGATGGAGGTGATCTTGACATTCCTCTTCCGAACGACCTTGAGCGTAAATGCGTGACTTTACCGCCGCGGTGACCTTGTGACATTGCCAGGTCAACGATCCATTTTTAGAATCCCTTTTGATCAAGGCACTCTCCCTTCTAATTAATTTACCGTGGCTGCGATGAGCAAATTGCCCGGCGGTGGATGCGCAAATGGAAATGGTTCACTTAATACGTCAAATCAATCCATCTATTTCTCCTCTTTATCTACTTAAAGCGTCACATCTCTAGGTTAATATGACTACGACATTTTTCGATGCCACGTAATGCCCTGGATTCAACAATCCGACGACGCCAGTGTAATTAGTTTTTTGTAACTTAATTGACGATGGTCTCATTTACGTACGGGGCCTACTGTCTCTCGCCGTATTAGGAGGCCGATGAACTGTAGTTACCGTTTAATCTGATCAATTCAGTCATCTCTAATATCTGTCTGAACAACAACAGAGCACCCACGTCTGCATGAAATAACTCACACGCCAAATGTCTACTACCTCAAGCTAGTTCGTGTAAACACTTTTGAAAGGCTTTCTATGAAGCAAGTGAACGGTTAAAGCACTTATATAGTCTGAGAGCTCAATATCTGAAATTTTCCAGTAGACAATCTTTGCAGTGTGCAAATAGCTAATACAGTACATTATTAATTAGTTATTGTATAACAGTTTTGGTTTTCATTTCGCTTATTGCAACTGTATTTAAGGGATTTTTAAGACATGACCATTTTTCAGCAAATAGCGTGCGTCATTGGGTAGTTTCTGAAATACCTTCCAAATTTACGTCAAAAGCGAACTCTGAGTCAAAATGTGAGTACAGATCTACATATTCTTTTGCTACGTTAAGAAGAATGAGAAAGAGCAGATGACGCACAAATAGATTAACAAAAAGAAAAAAACTGACCACGTCGAAGACTCGGAACATCTCCCTGATTTCGACGTCCCGGTCGACGGTGTGAATCCTGGAGCCCATCATCGTCAGGAACTCCTGGAAGTCTATGGTGCCGTTCCCGTCCACGTCCACACTCTTCATCATGTCCTGGAACACAAGAACCGTCAAGGGTCAGTTTGTAAATCATTGTGAACATTTAAACAACGATTAGTGACTAAAAGTTGCAGAATTATTAATTAATTAACACTCAAAACAAAGAATATTAATATATACACTACCCAGACGAATTGTCTATCAATTCACTGGTCTCCTTGAGTCTAAAGTTCAGTTGTTGTTTTTTTCTTTTAATAAAAATTATTTATTTATTTGTTTATGCCTTTATTTACACTCGAAATTGTTCTATTCGGTCATCAGGATCACTTTTCATAACTTCATAGAGTTTGGAAAAGTATCAAGGGCTCATTTAGAAACAAATGCTTGGTCAACATGAATGACTTAAAATGACATAAATAATACACATGAAAAATACGCAATAAATTAATAAGTAATAGTAACAAATAATTCATCACGTCATTAGGATCATAATTGTTCGATAAAGGTCAGTTAAAATGGCAATAGTCTTTAAAAGTTGTAAGAGAAGATGCTGCTCTAATGTCCTATTATAGTAGCATTTTTATTTTTGGCCGGAATTTTTTATTCGCCCGCGCGCACTAGTTTGGGGGTCTTCAGAGGATGTCACCCATAAAATTAAGTCGGTGTGGCCTTATTCTAACTTCGGGGGATACCACTATGAGCGAAGATGACACGACGGAATGTCATTGCCAAGTCAATGATAGCCAACCTCATATAACATCTGAGTCCCCGAAGCCTGGAACGCGACCTAAGGGTGGAATACCTTCCCTACCAATGCAGCACAACAATCAATCAAGGCAGGCCTGTCGCTGGTAATATCTTGCGAGATGATTCAAAGTACAGCCACACCCGTCTTTCACGTTGCCACCAGCGAAATTGCGGGATCTGCGTTACATAAGGTGGCATAATGGAAACCCCGCGTACGCAGAGATCTAACCCTTGATAAACAGCCTGTCAGGATCTTCCGGCTGGAGAAATATCACGAGCTGTCACTTCAAAGGAACCTCCCGAGGAGCTATGCATGAGTTCTTCTCCCACTCATTAAATTTGGATCAGGGGACGACGCTCTCCCCATACGTTACATCTTCAAATGTTCGCATGAGAGGATTATCTTTGTGCTAGATATGCTTTTATTTTGTATAGCGGATTAATCTGCCATGGAGTCAGGCTTACAGAAATTTTGACAGCTCGAGCTTTCGAATTCATCATTGAAGTACATCGGATGAACATCTTCAGATTTTCGCATGTAGGGATTATGTTACTGTTTGCAAGATATACTTTTATTTTGTATAACGGATTAAACTGTCAAAAATTTGGATTCACTAAACTTTTAGCAGTGCAGCTCGAGGTCAAAGAGATATGATTCAGTATTGAAGATATAAACTTTCACGGGGACTATTTTATTTGTCTTGCTGTCTCAAAGTTTGGGACAAGAACAACTGTCACTTTATAGCGTTTCTTCAGTGACACGTATATAACTCAAGGTCTTTGTTGCGATGTGCTGCAATACATTCTTTAGGTTTTCTGAAGTTCAGTGACGGCGAAAGACTGCCATTGCTCAGTGGTTTTTCAACCTTTAAAAAATTGATGTAACTTTCGGCTGTAGTCATCAATGGATCTAGCCTGTACATTACCATGACGGTGGTAGATTCCGTCTCCCCACCACTGTTGATGCACTCCTAACGTCATCACGCTTCCGACTTCCGGAGAGTCAGCGAGTGCATCATACATCTGACGAAGGTTGACGAGATCGACCGAAAATTGATGGTGAGTTTACTTTTTTGTGTTGGGACAAAGCTTGAACTTCATAACTATAAAACTAAAATAAAATAAAATAAAATAAAAACCGAAAACAAACCTCAATCTCATCGCCGGTGGGATCGTGTCCCAGCGACCTCATGACGGACTCCAGCTCCGTGGCCGTGATGTTACCGTCGCCATCTTTGTCGAACAGCGAGAACGTCTCCTTCAACTCTTTCACTTTGGACTGGTCCATCTGCCTCGCCATTTGTGCAGACTCTTTGACTAAACCTGTGGACACATAAGTAAGACACGTAAGCAAGACACATAAGCAAGGGCATTAGACACATAAGTAAGACGCATAACCAAGACACATAAACAAGATACATCTGCGTCACCATTTGGTGTAGACTCTTTGATAAAACCCAAAGACACCTAGGTAAGACTCATAAGCAAGACGCATAAGTAAAACACATGTCAAAACATAAATATGCATATGGCGCGTCTACCTCGCCAGTAGTGTAGACTTCGACACATGTACGACACATGTATTACATATACTTTAATTGATGAGAGCGAGAAGATTGACATGGCAAACAGCTAACAACAGGCAACTCTTTTCGCTTTTTGGGAAGATAATTCACGAGACTCTAATCACACAAGGCGCACACATAACCACCAATTGACGAGGAACGCCATAATGACGGTTCATACAAATGTCAGCAGTAGGTGGTCCCACGGTGGAGTGTTTTACATCATGGTTGCTTAATAGATAGTCTTACTACGAGTTGAACCCTGACTTTTCTGTTCACAGGAAGTGGGGGAAAGGTCAAGTTGGTCCGAGCCTACAATCGCGCGTCAAATTAAACACTCCCCAACGTGCACGTACAGAGCGAAATTACGGTGATTCACAGGGCAATTTTCACACCTACCCCCCAGGCGGAAGATATCAAGAAAATTGGTCTGTGGGGCTCCAAGTACTATCTATTTGCAAGTTGGAACAACTTTATGCAAATACCTAAACCATTGTCCCTGCCTTACTAGAATACATGTACAAGCTTAGTGAGTAGGTAGCCTTTATCAAATATCTACGTAAGTCTTACAAGTAAGTCTATATAAGGTTTCCCAATTGTCCGGCTTGACATGGCAAAGTATATCTTTTCTTACTGTGTGCAGGGTTTCTGAACGTAGGTTTCCAAACATTGCTCTAAGGTTTGCAACACTAAAAAACATAGATTCTCAAAAAAAATCTTTGCCTGTAATCTTAAACTAGTCTGTAAATTACACATTGCAGGCTTAACTGGTTCCTGGAGTTTATACCTAACCTACGCTTTAGGCATCTTCCTATACATTACGTCTGTACCGTCATAACTGCAGCGTTTAGTACTTAATTAGAGCGTGGCACAAGAACTCGTTTTCACGTCGTTTTTGATGCATGCTCGGTTGGGCAATCAGTGACCCAATCATCGTAGTCATCATTTATTAAAGCGTGCATCAGAAGACACGTCTCCTGAATCTTAGATGACGCTCTGTCCTTGACTAACGTATTGCGCTGACACGACCCTTATTTACTATAAGTAGAAAGCAATTTAGGAATACCGCGCTATCAGTAATATTAAGGCGCAAAAAGAGTTAGCTTTGTTGCAGGCAAAATGACAAGCTTGCAAGAGGGATGATAGAAAAATTAGGTGCTATTTGCTCCTGTCAAAAGAAAGCATTAACCTCATTCTTCAAGCGTGGCGCATCCGTGTCAATCACGTGATGAGCGCTGCTACACGTAAAGGTCAACGTCATCAATTACGGCGCACCGTATGCTATTAATCTTTGAATAAACCCACACAAGTCACCCCCTATGAACACAAGGTACATGTAGAGGCAGGAAAAACATGTCGATGCATCGCCAAGAACACATGAAGCGTGACAAATTTGAAACAATTACTCATGATCTAGAAAGGTGGTCCTTACAAGAAGGCATGCTTCTCCACAAGCGGTACGGTATGACGTGGAGTCGGGCTTCCGTTCGGCTAATTTGCATAACGGTTGTACGGGAAGCGTGGTCTCGCCGTCCAGGCATAAAGGTGACCTTCTATATTTGGCACGTCGGTGGACGTAAGAGCCGCTAATTACGGCCATTATACACGGCAGAGGTACTTATCCTCAAGCTGGGAAAATTGTAGTGATACACAGTGTATAATGGACCCATTATCAGCGCGTGGGTAAGTACGTCACCTGCATGTGCCGGCTGAAGCAGGTAGAACTGGAGCTGTGCAGGTATTTCTGACGTCTACGTACACCTAACCTGCACTGGTCCATGTACTGGGTATATGCAGGTTACTGCAGGTAAAATTGGAGCTGTGCAGGTATTTCTAATGTCTACGTACACCTAACCTGCACTGGTCCATGTACTGGGTATATGCAGGTTACTGCAGGTAAAATTGGAGCTGTGCAGGTATTTCTAATGTCTACGTACACCTAACCTGCACTGGTCCATGTACTGGGTATATGCAGGTTAGTGCAGGTAAAATTGGAGCTGTGCAGGTGTTTCTGACGTCTACGTACACCTAACCTGCACTGGTCCGGATAAATCCAGTTACATGCAGTCATCAGTTACCCAGAAATAAAGTTGTTTCACAGAAGCACACTAAATACAGTAGATAACAAGATCCAAATCGGTACTACTAGGAACATTTTCACAACATCCTCATGTACTGAAAGATACTGAAAAACAAAGAAAGTCGTAGGTAAAAGTTGTTTGGTGAAGGTAATTTTAGATGTTCAAACACGTAACAGGCAAAAGGTTACAAATCAAATTAGATTTCTGAAAACTGAAGATATCTAATTGTTTCGATGGTCATTTTAAAACATTAACAAAAAAGCTTATTGCTTGTATGACCTTCCTTGCATCTATCATCTTTCAGGTTGCATAACGTGTATTCTTATTACATCATCATGCCTCTGGATTAATCATACGGTGAGGTACACTTGATAAAGTTACTCCAATACAACCTGTCCCTCTTTCTTATTACAAATTATTCCCAACCCCAGTACAAACCAGCCTGCCGTCCCAGGACGGGATGTTGACTCCACCCTGACCCGTGTCTGATGGATGTGTTTCCAGGTACCGCTTCACCCGGTTAGATTGTCGCCATGCATCACGTTATGACACGGGCAAACTTTGGGAAAAGGTCGTATGAAACATGGGTTCGGAGATTGATGAATAAAGCGCGCGGTTTGTCCATAATGCTGAGGTCACATTTCCAAGCCGGGGCCCGGCCGGGCTGTTTACGTCAACGAAAAGTATGAAATTAAAGACAACAAAGCAGAAATGATTTGCAACATTTGATCATGAACACTTTCTGCGCATATTCTTCATATGAATTGTTTATATTTCGTTGACGTAAACAGACCTAGTTTTGGCGTCGTATATTTCTAAAAAGCTTCCGACACAGCATCTCTGCAAAGCTTGCAAAGAGGGAATGATTGAATGAAATCCCCATTCAATGTCATGCGTAATTTGGAAAGCAAAGCCCATTTATAATTGTACTTACATGACACGGTAAGTTATGTAAACGCAAGATGCGGTAGTCAAAATGTTCAGACATAAATTTAGTCAAATCTCACCATTCATTACATAAAGCGCAGAAACAAGACCAGCCATTCCTGTAACGTCTTCGTAAGTAATAGTAAATGGATAAATTTTCTGTGACGCAAGCCGTAAGATTAAATCTCCGAGCCACACAGAGCCACCGTGCTCTTACAAGTGAACACATTGGTTAGGCTGCAACCAGCGAATACCAATGAGACTGTTTACGTGGAACTTTACAAATCAGCAGCGGCGTTGTGCGACATCAAATGTATGGTTACAATTACACACTGGCGACATCTGCGATATCTGAGAGGTCAGGTAAGCCCTGGAGTTACGGGCAGACGGCAAACAGATGGGAACACGGAACTACCTGACAGAGCGAGATGGTTAACCGTTAACAATTCAAACTAGCGAATAGCCGTTTTCCGTTCACATTTAAAGAGGGGGAGGGGCAATACCAATGTAAACCATAGTGCCTGGTATCTTCAGCGAAACCGTACAAAAGACAAAGCCACATTGACAACGGTAGACGAAAAAAAAATCAAACAGCCAATATTGGCTTTTGTAATTGTATTATGATAGCTGCATTATGAAAGATCACATCACACATCTTGTATTAAAGTTCCTATAGAGAAAGCATATCCTTTCAAATATTCAGTAGTCTTTAGTGATGTAACATCCAGTACTTCTATTTTTGAGTAGCTGTCTTTTTCATCTCTACCAGCATGGAAATGGAAACAATCCATTCACAGCTTCAAAAGCATCGTGCTGCTAACATATAGTCTTCAACCAACCGTCCGTCTTTTGTACCACGGAAGCGGCGCCCATCTGAAACAGGATTTACGTAAATCCTACAATCTCAAGTACGAGAGCTGATAAACGTTTTTCCACTCCTCTTCCTGATGATATCGTGTCCACAGAAGTTTAGCCTTTTGCGTGTCACGACGCAGACACATGTTGTGATAGATGAAGCGAGAATAGCTCACGAATCAGTGCCAAGAGAAACAATAGCGGGCTAGGCAGCCTATGCGTTACTACAACTTGAAAGCTTTTTTTTCACTACACACTGTCCTCCGTCAGGGATTTAAACTCTTTCACTTCTACCTATCCTCTCAATCTTATGTCAGGCCCACCACTTGTACGGAATAGAAGGGGCCGTACGAACAACCCCCATGCAGAGCTCTTCCATGGAGGTTGCTCGTACAGCCCCTATTGGGTGTACCGGCCTGCGATTCGTCCTCTCCGTAGCCTCATCGCTGACCAATCAGAAACTCTCCCACCTGATTGGATGGGAAGGTACCAGCCAATCATGTTGCCTCTTGACCGTAAGCGGCCACATGATTGGCGAGTTGCTTTATAGCTTAGTACATATTGGTGACTTTGGGCCTTCTCTATTTCTTTTGCCCTTTATTGGTTCTTGGAGCCTTGGATCGAAAAAGATAACTTCTGTATGTCTAGTGCTACGCTGAGCGTAACATTAATATCTGCTGAAAGAAAGCCTCTAGGTTCATGTACTTTAGACCTCTAGACCTGCTGGACTTCTATCTGTCCTAAACAAATCACTTTGGCTATGCCTATAAATTCACAAAAACTCTACCTCCCGGAAGTTTAAAATCACAGAAATCTTGTATTCTTGTGGAACGTATGTTTGCATCAAACGAATAGACATTTCACGGCTACAATCAGATGCTGGGAGAGAAATCGT